TCCTACCCATTTAGATACCAACACTTTCGTTAGTGGAATGTTTGCTTGAGTCTGTTGTTCACTCAATATCCTACCCATTTAGATACCAACACTTTCGTTAGTGGAATGTTTGCTTGAGTCTGTTGGTCACTCAATATCCTACCCATTTAGATACCAACACTTTCGTTAGTGGAATGTTTGCTTGAGTCTGTTGTTCACTCAATATCCTACCCATTTAGATACCAACACTATCGTTAGTAGAATGTTTGCTTGAGTCTGTTGGTCACTCGTGTATAGATTGTGACATGTGAAATGTGAGGGTAAATGGTGCGGGTTGTAGATTTGTGCGGGTTGTGTATGTGCGAGTTGTAAAAATGTGAGTTGTGAAATGTGAGGGTTTTGCAAAACGTGAGGGTTTTGCAATCTGAGAGTTGTGCAATGTTATCTTCAAACAGGAGATGTGTGGGCCATATGCCAACAAAGGTGGAGTTTGATAGCTTTACGTTCCTCACTAAATCTTCCTGCCTAACTGTAGGTCCGCGCTGTAAACACCAAGATTTACACTCGGCTCGCTTTTCTAATGCAATACTTATGGGGATATGGCGGGATATTGTGGGGATATGACGGTTTCCTGTGGAGGTTTTGGCCTTGTGGTGTGTGTTGCCGTAGTGTCCAACACTTGTTAACTGTGTCGGCATGGCATTCTGTAAGCCAGTGTTGGACAGAGACGCTGATTCAAACGTTCAACTCATCAACTTGTTTGTTTTGATTTCTCCTGGATTATGATAGAGTAAAGGAGCGGTGGTGAGTGATTTCACTTTCTAACTTGCAACCATTTGGAACCCCCACCATTGTAGAACCATTGACAAGACATTAGTGTTGCCCTATGCAGTAGGCCTACACTAAAGTACACGGTGTAAATATTTCATGCCCCACTAGCTCTGTCCAAAAACCAATGCATCACGTGTTCGTGTGCGGGTTGTGTGTGTGTGTGTGTCGAAATTCAGTTTAAAAAACTGCTCCTAGTTTGTAATGATCGCTTACAGCTTGAAGCAGGGATCTGCATAGCATTGAAGATTTCAAACAAGACAAACCAAAGCTTTGAGAATAAAAATGTACACACACATTGTTTAAAAAAAAACGGAATTACCCAATAAAGTACGTGCAGTGGCGTAGATCCATTGAATTGAACAGTGCTAAAGTGAATAGGCACAAGTTCCTGTAGGGAAGTGTTGTGTGTTTAATAATATCTTGATAACTACACGCTTGACGTCAAGAATGTGTTGACAATGTGGGTCTCAGGATAGTTAGTCAGTCAGTGGGTAGGGCCTGGACTATAGCAACATGTAGTTTTGTGATGGAAAAAACTATCGCCTTGAGCAGCCTTGGGTAAAGTGTGGAAGTAATGCATTAGCCAGGGTCTAGCGTGACGGTGTAGTCAGCCCATGACTCGAATGTTTACTTGTGGTTAGCCTGTGACCTTCACGCTGCTCGAGAACATAGTGTTTACCATTAGTTCAGTCAAGGAAGAGCCATTAAGTTTGTGCCCATACAAACGGTAAGATATGATGAGGCATGAAAAAACACCATATCGCTGACGTGAGAATTAGAAACAGGAGAAATGTTTCATTCAAGTACACGGACCTAACGTATTCTAATTAAGTTCAAAAGTTTTTAGTTGGAATTGCTAAATCTCATGGTTATTATATCAGCTTTTTTTTTTTTGCTACTATCGCTACTCTATCCCCAACCCCGCCCCTAACACTGATATCGACAGAACCATTTAAAATACGACACTGCGTTATGCTGTCGACGTTTATTTGACACAAACAACCAAAACGTACTTGCTTTCAATCAACAATTCTTAATCAAGATCTTTTTTTGTTTCACTGTATGTTTTTGTTTCTTAAATAGTAACGATTTCCTATAGCTGCAATAAAATGTGCTAACAATACAATATGCTAACAATACAGTTTGCAACAATACTTTGTCTTGGGGTACAAATGGAGGGGATGAAAGCAGTGTTTGATGAGGAACATCTGTTGTTGTTCAAATATTTAATATCTTATGGTATTGTAGACTTGCCATTGTTCTGACATCTTGATGGAGGTGTACACACAATACCAATTGTAGAGGGAGGTGTAAACTTGCTGTATACTGTAGAGGGAGGTGTACACTTGCTGTATACTGTAGAGGGAGGTGTAATCTAATGTCTAGAGGGAGGTGTACACTTGCTGTATACTGTAGAGGGAGGTGTAAACTTGCTGTATACTGTAGAGGGAGGTGTACACTTGCTGTATACTGTAGAGGGAGGTGTAATCTAATGTCTAGAGGGAGGTGTACACTTGCTGTATACTGTAGAGGGAGGTGTAATCTAATGTCTAGAGGGAGGTGTACACTTGCTGTATACTGTAGAGGGAGGTGTAAACTTGCTGTATACTGTAGAGGGAGGTGTACACTTGCTGTATACTGTAGAGGGAGGTGTAATCTAATGTCTAGAGGGAGGTGTACACTTGCTGTATACTGTAGAGGGAGGTGTAAACTTGCTGTATACTGTAGAGGGAGGTGTACACTTGCTGTATACTGTAGAGGGAGGTGTAATCTAATGTCTAGAGGGAGGTGTACACTTGCTGTATACTGTAGAGGGAGGTGTACACTTGCTGTACACTGTAGAGGGAGGTGTACACTTGTTGTACACTGTAGAGGGAAGTGTAATCTGATGTCTAGAGGGAGGTGTACATTTGCTGTATAATGTAGAGGGAGGTGTACACTTGTTGTACACTGTAGAGGGAAGTGTAATCTGATGTCTAGAGGGAGGTGTACATCTGATGTCTAGAGGGAAGTGTACACCTGATGTCTAGAGGGAGGTGTACATCTGATGTCTAGAGGGAGGTGTACATCTGATGTCTACTGTAGAGGGAGGTGTACATCTAATGTCTAGAGAGAGGTGTACATCTAATGTCTAGAGAGAGGTGTACATCTAATGTCTAGAGAGAGGTGTACATCTGATGTCTACTGTAGAGGGAAGTGTACACCTGATGTCTAGAGGGAGGTGTACATCTAATGTCTAGAGGGAGGTGTACATCTATAGGCATATGCTACAGTAGACATCAGGTGTACACCTCCCTCTAGACATCAGGTGTACATCTGATGTCTAGAGGGAGGTGTACATCTGATGTCTAGAGGGAGGTGTACATCTGATGTCTAGAGGGAGGTGTACATCTGATGTCTAGAGGGAGGTGTACATCTGATGTCTAGAGGGAAGTGTACATCTGATGTCTAGAGGGAGGTGTACATCTGATGTCTAGAGGGAGGTGTACATCTGATGTCTAGAGGGAGGTGTACATCTGATGTCTAGACATCAGGTGTACATCTGATGTCTAGAGGGAGGTGTACACCTGATGTCTAGAGAGAAGTGTACACCTGATGTCTAGAGGGAAGTGTACATCTGATGTCTAGAGGGAGGTGTACATCTGATGTCTAGAGGGAGGTGTACACCTGATGTCTAGAGAGAAGTGTACACCTGATGTCTAGAGGGAGGTGTACATCTGATGTCTACTGAAGAGGGAGGTGTACATCTGATGTCTACTGTAGAGGGAGGTGTACACCTGATGTCTAGAGGGAAGTGTACACCTGATGTCTAGAGGGAGGTGTACATTTGATGTCTAGTGGGAGGTGTACATCTGATGTCTAGAGGGAAGTGTACACCTGATGTCTAGAGGGAGGTGTACATCTGATGTCTAGAGGGAGGTGTACATCTGATGTCTAGAGGGAGGTGTACACCTGATGTCTAGAGAGAAGTGTACACCTGATGTCTAGAGGGAGGTGTACACCTGATGTCTAGAGGGAGGTGTACACCTGATGTCTAGAGGGAGGTGTACACCTGATGTCTACTGTAGCATATGCTTATAGTGTATGTTTGAAGATGAGAAGGTGTATATGTAGGCCTACTTAATCTTGACACTTTGATTATTTACTGAGTCAATATCATGTTGAGAATATTTGCCCCACAAAAATGTTTGTAGAGAATAGTAAAACTATTTTTAAAAAATACTTTTAAGGTATAGTTAAGGTGTTGGTGGTTCAATAAATCTTGTATTTACAGATTTATGACCAATGCTTTTACTCCATTTTTTAAAGGAGAATATATTCCTAATTTTTTACTGTTGGCTAACTGACATTTAGATCTTGTTATCACTTGTATACATTTCTTTCTACTTATACTTTTTAGGAATTATAAAAATGTAATAGAAATTCAATACGAAAATTTAAAAAACAGTTAGTACTCTGGTTACTTTTTCCAAGCTGATCATTCTTAAACTTTGCTTTCTACTAAAGTGGTGTGTCCTGGTGTCGTTGTCGTCCGTCCGTTCCCCCCCCCCCCCCCCCCATATAAAGTATTAGCTGTAAATCTGATAGATATATGCTTATTATGCTATTTTTTGTAATGCTCACTTAGTCGCTGATGTTAATCTAATTTATTCTTTGTCCAAACATTTCCTTGTAAAGATAACTCAACACTTGTAATTTCTCTCCCTATTCAGCTGTCTTGTTAGCTCTCAGATTCTTTATACAGCTCTTTTTACACCTCCTAGTTATTTCCCTTTATTTTTCAAGCCTTGAGTAAATTAATCACCATAACTATTTTTTGTTAGTCTTTAGTAATCTTAGATTAATCATCATAACTATTTTTTGTTAAAGTCTTGAGTAATCTTTAGATTAATCATCATGACTATTTTTTGTTAGTCTTTAGTAATCTTTAGATTAATCATCATAACTATTTTTTTTTTTGTTAAAGTCTTGAGTAATCTTTAGATTAATCATCATGACTATTTTTCAAGCTAGACCCACTTATCTGCAGGGGAGAGAAATGGCCCCAGTCAAAATACAAGATATAACCACAAATAAACACTCCCACACACGGCTGTACAAAAAATTAAATCAAACTATTTACCTTAAATGAATGAGAATATTGCTGCTAGCATTAAATTCTGTATTGAATGATTTCTCCTACATTTCAGCTGGTACAATGGAATGCTAAGCTCAGGCTAAAGAGGTCAAAAAAGGGGCAGGATGTGTATGTCAAAAGCTTGCTGGCACTCTGCAGACCTGTACGCACTGATTCCGTTTTGGAGATCCGTATGGATGGGAATATGTTTATAAGTCGTCATGATCTCAGTTTTCACTTCATCTACTGTGATCCCAGGTACAACTAAATCATAGATTTTAACCTGAAGCTCCAGTTAAATTACTTTCCTAGCAGCAGTAGTATTGAGTCATTTTAATGTGACGTATGTATTCAAATGATTTATTGAAGTAACTAATGTACAACTAAATCATAGATTTTAACCTGAAGCTCATGTTAAATTACTTTACCTAGCAGCAGTAGTATTGAGTCATTTTAATGTGATGTATGTATTCAAATGATTTATTGAAGTAACTAATGTACAACTGAATCATAGATTTTAACCTGAAGCTCCTGTTAAATTACTTACAACTAAACATAGATTTTAACCTGAAGCTCCTGTTAAATTACTTACAACTAAACATAGATTTTAACCTGAAGCTCCTGTTAAATTACTTTACCTAGCAGCAGAAGTATTGAGTCATTTTAATGTGACGTATGTATTCAAATGATTTATTGAAGTTACTAATGTGAAACCATTTCTTATAGGATTATTAATTTGATTGGTTATGAGCCAAGTGACCTTCTAGGCAGGACAGCCTATCAATTTCACTGTCCTAAAGATGTCTTGGTGTGTAAAGATTGTCACACATCATGTGAGTATTTGTTTCATCATTGTCACACATCATGTGAGTATTTGTTTCATGATTGTCACACATCATGTGAGTATTTGTTTCATCATTGTCACACATCACGTTAGTACTTGTTTCATGATTGGCACAAATATATCTTACATCGTAGCAAATAATGTATGTTTTAGGCCCAGTTATGTGGAGTGTAACATTATAATATAACATTAACATTATAATATTGCTGTTACATTTATTCTAATAATGCTTTGGTTGTGCATGTCATGTTACTTCTAGTGGTTCAAATTTTCATATTGCAACTTGACATGACAGAAGTGTTAACACAACTCGACATGACAGAAGTGTTTAACACAACCTGACATCACAGAAGTTTTTAACACAACTGTCCAATTTATTTTGTTTGACAGTGATTTTATCAGGAGCCTCCAAGTCTGACTACTATAGATTTCTGTCCAAGTCAGGAAAATGGGTTTGGCTGTCTACACATGCCACAATAGTATATGACACAGCCAAAAACCCTCAGTATGTTGTTTGCAAAAACTACATCATCAGGTAAATGGAGAGTTCACATTTACATTGCAGTGTCACGTCACTAGAGGCCTAGCTCAAATCTACTTTTAAAACCATATTATTAGGTTACAAATATTATTTTAAAACTCCATTTTTTTGTTGGTCAAAAGCTGTTGTTCTTATGTTTTTAGATGTTAGAAATCAATATAAAAACCTTTTAAGTTTTTAAATGTAAATAACAAATATAAAATACCTTTTACAAAAAAAAATGTTAAATACACAGAACAAAATAAATAAAACAAACTTGCTTTCTTTAATAAGAGCATTTTGGGTTCATGGAATCTTCTACATATTTTGGCTAATAATTACTGATTAGTAATTTATTCTTAACGAAGTTGACACCAGACATGGTTAAAATAACTTGCTGTAAAACCTGATTGATCCCTAAAAAACAATGATCTACTCCTCCTTGGTTAAATCTCATTCAAGTAACCAACCAACTGTGATCTAAAGCAATGATCTACTCCTCCTTGGTTAAATTTCATTCAAGTAACCAACCAACTGTGACCTAAAGCAATGATCTACTCCTCCTTGGTTAAATCTCATTCAAGTAACCAACCAGCTGTGATCTAAAGCAATGATCTACTCCTCCTTGGTTAAATCTCATTCAAGTAACCTACCAGCTGTGATCTAAAGCAATGATCTACTCCTCCTTGGTTAAATCTCATTCAAGTAACCTACCAGCTGTGATCTAAAGCAATGATCTACTCCTCCTTGGTTAAATCTCATTCAAGTAACCAACCAGCTGTGATCTAAAGCAATGATCTACTCCTCCTTGGTTAAATCTCATTCAAGTAACCAACCAGCTGTGATCTAACAGTTCACCATTGGCTGGCTGCTAGTAATTAATCCTGTCCCTCCCTTTTTATCATTGAATTAAGTCACCATTCAGTTATGCTGCAATGACTATTCCAGTGCCTAATTAGATAAAAAGAGAAGATATTCTTGCATTATACCATTGGAGAAGAATGTTTTGAAAAGTGAATGAAATGGCTGCATTGGAGTTGGGTTAAAATTGAGTCAGGCGTCGTTCATAAATAACGTCACACTTTTAGTGGGGGGGGTGGTCATAATTTTGTGATGAGGGGATGATTCAGATGGTGTGACATCACACTTTTGCATTAAAAAATGTTACAAACTGAATTGAAGCCATTATTTTAGAAAACTATTTCAGTAAATTGTTATAGGAATTAATTGATATACTCTCTGGTGACTGAGTTCAGTCGATATTTTAGAAAGACATTGATGCTTTAAGTTGATATTTTAGAAAGACATTGATGCTTTAAGTTGATATTTTAGAAAGACATTGATGCTTTAAGTTGATATTTTAGAAAGACATTGATGTTTTAAGTCGATATTTTAGAAAGACAATGATGCTTTAAGTCGATATTTTAGAAAGACATTGATGCTTTAAGTTGATATTTTAGAAAGACATTGATGCTTTAAGTTGATATTTTAGAAAGACATTGATGCTTTAAGTTGATATTTTAGAAAGACATTGATGCTTTAAGTTGATATTTTAGAAAGACATTGATGCTTTAAGTTGATATTTTAGAAAGACATTGATGCTTTAAGTTGATATTTTAGAAAGACATTGATGCTTTAAGTTGATATTTTAGAAAGACATTGATGCTTTAAGTTGATATTTTAGAAAGACATTGATGCTTTAAGTTGATATTTTAGAAAGACATTGATGCTTTAAGTCGATATTTTAGAAAGACATTGATGCTTTAAGTCGATATTTTAGAAAGACATTGATGCTTTAAGTCGATATTTTAGAAAGACATTGATGCTTTAAGTTGATATTTTAGAAAGACATTGATGCTTTAAGTTGATATTTTAGAAAGACATTGATGCTTTAAGTTGATATTTTAGAAAGACATTGATGCTTTAAGTTGATATTTTAGAAAGACATTGATGCTTTAAGTTGATATTTTAGAAAGACATTGATGCTTTAAGTTGATATTTTAGAAAGACATTGATGCTTTAAGTTGATATTTTAGAAAGACATTGATGCTTTAAGTTGATATTTTAGAAAGACATTGATGCTTTAAGTTGATATTTTAGAAAGACATTGATGCTTTAAGTCGATATTTTAGAAAGACATTGATGCTTTAAGAAAAACACGTTGATTTTGAAAGGGGTTGTTGGCTGTTGGGACATGATTTTAGGGAAAGGTCCATCTGTATGTGATGATGTGTGACAGAGTGGAGAGGGGGTCATTTTAAGTAGTTAAATTAATTTTGCTACAGGCTGTAAACTGCGGATATTGAATAGTTCCGTAGTCATTCGACCTGGTTATCAATTTTAGTATTTTTAGTTGCCAGCCGTAAACCTTTGCCATCTGATCTGGGTATAATCATTTTCAATAATAAGGCTGTAACCTGTAGTGTAGTTGTATTCTTAAGTTTACTTTATTCCCAGTAGAGAAGTGGTGAAGACCCTTCTGCTGGTGTCATTGCAGCCTTTCACTTTTTATTATAAGTAATATGTACAATTAAGAATGGAAGCATTGACACTGTCATGTCTTGTTTCAGCCAAGAAGAAGCCGAGCGCAAGTTGTCCCAGGAGCAGAAGGACTTTGAAGCAATGAAATGTTTGGGCTTCAGCTTAGAAACAGACCTGCCCATTGTGGAGTACATGTCTTCCTCCCGTCTGGCCAGCTCTAGACAAACTGATGAGGACAACACTATCATGCTAGACCAGCTGCTGCACTCAGAAAAAGTTGATGTTTCATCCAATCCTTATGCACGGCCTAGAAAGAAAAGAAATATTTCATCTGGACTAAACATGGGTATCCCCAGAAGTAGTTCCTCTAGTGGGCTCTACATACAGGCCCTCAACCAAGTGGCCACAGTCAACAGCAAAGACAATGTGCCCACAGTGGGTCAGGCAGCTGAGCCAGTAGATATGGCCGACCCAGCTGGGCAACTCTTTGACCTGACCTTGACATCAAACAGCTTTGACCCAGTGCTGGCTGACATGTCAGAGCCCCAGCTGACCACAGCTGACCTCTTCACTAGCCAAGACCATTGGTTTTCTCCTGACCTGACTAATGGCTTCTTTAGTCAAGGCTTAGCTGAGAAAGAAAATATACTGACATTCACAGAGGGATGTACTGGCCTTAGCTCAGTTGAAGCCATGGAGCAGTCACTCTCTAAAACAGAGCTGCTGGGGAAACCAGTTGCATCTAACCGAAGTCAGCTCAGTCCATCCAAAACAAACATGAGAAGCACAGCAAATACATTTCCAAGGCTCCAGGAGGTGTCCCAGCCTGCGCTGACCACCCAACAGCCTGTGCTGACCACCCAACAGCCTGTGCTGACCACCCAACAGCCTGCTCTGGTCACCCAACAGCCTGCTCTGGTCACCCAACAGCCTGCGCTGACCACTGTACATGGCCAGGCTGCAGATAACGAGCTAGCACCCAGTAAATTATATTCTCTCCTCAAAACTGGAGCTAATCCTAAGGTTATGCCCAGTTCTCAGAAAATCATCATCTGCAAGTCACAGGATGAAAGCCATGCCCCCAGAACAAACACTGTCAGTATCCTGCGCAATGCCCTCTTCTCATGCCATCCAAACGTGCCAGCTGTCGGCTGTCAAAAACCAGAGCTGGACACCCCTCCCCTGTCCTCCACCTATCCAGGGTCCTGTGGCAAATCAGATCCTCCACCCGGTAAGAAAGAGAAGACAAACTTGAAATACAACGGCTTGCAGTCTCAGTACCTGACAGCTGCCAACACAGACAGCTCATCCTTCATGACAGATGGCAACTGTGATCCATTTCTCAGTCAGTTGATGGACACAAATTTGTTCCAGGACAGCTACATGATAGACAGCCCAGCTGATGGCAGCTCCCACACACCATATGTCCATCACAACAACACCATGGATCAAACTGGTAAAAGTCTACACACCTCCTTGATGGATGATGCCTCTGTGACTCTAGGGGAAGCTGCTTTCTCAGCAGAAAACCTGAGGGAGTTGGACTCGTTCCTGAGTATAATACCTGCCAGCCCTGTGTCCCTGGACCAGCTCAGCTCCAACTTGGACTCGGAGAACTTCTCAGACAGCTTTGGACTCTGCTCTGATCAGGAGGTGTCTCAGTCTTCTGTGACCTCGGCTGTTGTTACAACCCTGTCAAACTCTGGCTCTAGTGAGTCCTCTGATAACGAGACAACCAATGGTCGACCTTCTCTGCTTAGGACCTTGCTTGATAAGGAAGGGGAAGCAATACAAGGCCCCTTGACCTACACAGAGTGGATTTTGGAAGAGGCGTTGAAGAAAAAAAATGAACTGAAAAGATCTAAAATGGCCAGAAATAATTTCAAAATTTCTGGTCAAATGAGAGCCCGGTACAGTAAACACGGGGCCAGAAAATCTACAGAGCTGCCTCTACCCAAATCTGGCGTCTCCTTTAACTATGCCCACAGTGGCACACAGATGCGTAAACCCACCAAGGAGCTCCCTTTGCCACTGTCTGCCATGTCAGCATCCAGCTGTACCATGTCTGACAGGCAGACGGGCAGCAGCATTGGTGCAAACAGAAACCAGAGAGCCCCGTCATCAGACAGCTGCGACTCCTTCAGCCTGCCAGATGACTTGCTTGACCTGGCCGTGGAGTACTGTGGTTCTCTAGGGGCCGACCAGGCCGAAGCTTTGATCTCTGATCTAGCTGAAAACTCAACGTTTGAAGACAACCTTTACTCTATGATAGCTTCCCCTGCACAGGCCAAGACAAGCACGGTGCCAGGGTCCCGTCCAGCTGCCAGTCAGATGTCAGCCAGCTGTGACGTCCCCATGGTGAGTGACAGCAGGCCTGTCAGTGACAAACCTGCAGCCAGACAAATTCACATCACTGTCCTGGACAAGACTCCACAAGATTGTGCCAACTCTCTTCTACCCAGCCCCATCAAAATTGACGTCAGGATAGCCCGCCCCAACAGTGCTGGGGATTCAGGTAAAATGAGTCTACTGAGAGCAGCAGTCACCTCTCCCGATGTTGACAAGCTCATTGAGCAGATTCCTCTCAGAAAATCACCACCCAACTCTTCCTTAATGAGAAATTTTCAGCAGTTACCACAGAGTCAGCTGCCACAAGAGGAATCTGATATTTTAATTACAAAGGTCAGTGGCTTACAAAAGGACACTTATGAACAATCAACACAAATGGTCCACGGACGAGTGTTTAAAGTTCCAGCATCTGCCGCCATTAAAGCCAATGGTAAACTCTCCCCATCCAAGTCAGTGTACAGCCCAACCAGTTCCATGAGTGCATCAGAGCATATGGACGCCATACTGTTTGATCACTTCTACACAGCCAGCTTGTCCATGAACTCACCAAACCAGAGCCATGCTTCCCCCGTTCACACCACTGGACCAAAAGCAAGCATCAGCTGCAGCAATAAGTCCAAGCTGAGCCCCACGTCTCCACGACCCACAACTCATCGCCTGACCAGCCCTGGGTCGCCACGAGCTTCAGGGATCACAAATTCAGACCTTTCTTCCATCCAGCCTGTGTCTGTGATGATAATGAAGAAAGAAAACCACAGATCTCGACGTTCAAAGAGTATTGGTTTACAGACAGACAATGAGCCTGGTGAGGTATACCCAGAATTTGAGCGCAGCCCCACAGATACAATCCTGTACCCCAGCTCATGCCAGGTGTCCCAGTGCTTGACTCACTCGCCCAGCAGTCAGACCTCACACGGCAGCACGCCACTCTCATCCTCTCCAAACATGTCCGAACTGGAAAAGTTTTTACGTGGCTTTTCAGGAGCAGAGGATAGTGTGTCTTCAGTGGATGAAGAGGGCAGATGTAGATCAGAGACTCCATTCTTACAGAGGCTGTTGACTGGTGAACTCAGCCAGGACAATTACCAGCGTCTTGACCAGCAGCTCCTGGAGCGTGAGAGGAGAGAATCTTTATCATCAGGTAGTGAACAGGATTACTTGTGATTCTCCATTCACAGGAATTTACTTGTGTTATTCAAGTTTAGATTGCCATACTTCCAAAAATGTTTGAATATTCATTTGTCATTTCATTATAATTGTATGCATTGAAGAGGGGGTGGGGGGGGGGGGGGGGGCTGTGTCATGGTATCAAAAAGTGATTAGTAAATTGTGCAAGTAGATATTTTATTTTTACTTTGAGTTGTTTGTAGTTAAATATACACACATTTCATTCAAGAAGAAAATGAGGAAATTTTAATAATAAAAGAATTATTATGAGGTTCAATTCTGGAGGTAATGTATTTAAGTATGTATGTTTCTGTGAATCCCTAAATGTTTTGAAGCAGTGTTTTTTAAAGAGATGTGATCTCACTTTTTGTACCAGAATATCTTAGCAAGATGAGGCACTATCAGGGTGCTACACATATTTTAAAGAGAAATAGTGCAATCGTTTCTCTCAGAACTGTTATCAGAAGTCTACCCTGAGTGGTAGGGTAACTAGCTCCCAGGAGTGCCTTCTCATTGCTAATTAAATAATTGGATTTCAAATCAAACATATTAAAACAACACTGCAGTTAATTATAAAAATAGTGGGTTTTTTTTTTTTTTTGCATCATCTTTAGCTTCACATAATACAATAGTAAATAAGCACAAAAAAATATAGTTAACAAAAAATTAACATAAAGAAAAATGCTTTCAGTTGTAAATACCGCTCAGATTTACATTTTATTTTGTAGCTACATAAATAAAACAGATGATAATACATTTTTTAATATTACATGTTTGCCATTCCGGCAGTTTTTCAAGTCAATTATTCAAGCAAGAGCAACTAAGCATTTTACATTGAATATAGATTCGTTCATGCTCAAAAACAAAACACTGAACAAAACAGTTTCAAATATTAATTTATTTTTTAAATGAAAAAGAAGCCTATATATTTTTTTAAAAACTTTAATATGCTTAAAAATGTTTAGTTAATTATTTAAAGACAATATTTTTTAGAAAAAAAGCTCTATTTATTGCATGAAGAATTCAAGTGAACAAGTTCATCTTTATTCTGATTGTAAAAAGATCCCTATTCAAATTCATGTTATTTGACTGTGATATTTTTCATCTATATCAGAAACCATTGCATAAATTGTGTTAATTAATCAGCTTTCTTAAACATCATTCATTTTAAATTTGAAGAAATCTTTAATATAAAGTGTTGATATTACAATGTATATTAAACATAAATGTTTGACATACATCAGCAAGTGTTTTCAACTAACTGTAAATGCTTTTTACTCTTGAATCAAATGTATTATCTGTTAGATGTCAATATATTCAAATTTATATTGTAGAAATTTTGTTATTGATTTTTTGACAATTACATTCTTTTTGCTTGTACATTAACATATAACCCATTTAATTTCAATAATTGTTCTGTATTTGTAGTCCTCATGATTTAAGGTTGACCCACAGCAGAAGCTACCTTGTTTCCTCATTTCAAAAGCACTTGATTGCTATTTGAATCCCCAGAGCTATCCTGTTGCACATAGAAATAATTAGGTTTGATCAAGTGGTAGGGCTATCAAATCTGTGAGTTGAGTTTAAATCCCAGACACTTTCAGCTTAGTTCTGTTAGACATTCCTGAGCTCACCTGCTTGAAGAACAAAGCTACCTAGCAAATTTAGAACTTAACTGTTTCTGAGCGAAAAATTATCAATTTTAATTTTTTTTTTATTTCATTAGGCACATTTTAGAATCAAATAACTAATGGATTTAGTGCAGGCATTGTAAATATTTATTTACCTGTTGTAATTGAACAAATTCACATGTAATATCTAAATTAGTTACTAAACTTAAAAAATTCAATTATTGCAGCTTTTCTATTTTGAAAAAAATGTGTACTTTATAAATGTATAGGATTTGTACAGATTTTACCGTATTAATTGTATAATCTCACAACATTTAGAGTGTTTATTAGAACTGAAGAGTGTGCATGCTATTTAAATTACAACTCCTTAATGAATTTTAAGACAGCAAACATGTTGAAATCTGCAGGTTCATTAAATGTGTCTGAAAATTGTACCCCAATCTTTCATGAAAGAGTTTAGAAAATGCAGAAGATTTGAGGTTGTGTGTCACAATTATTCCCTCACTCTGTGATAGATATTTTAATATATGCCATTTTTTTCCCATTTTCGTCATACTTATTGTAATAGAAGTAAATAACTTTAAAAATAAGCTAATTAAGACTAACGGTGTATATATTAATATACAATTTACAAAGATCTAATGGTAATTTTCTCACCCAATTTTCATTCCCTTCATTCTGTCATTTTGTTGAGTGATCTTTGTGTTATTCATTTTTAGTCATGAATATTTGTTCATTTTTTTAGTTAGCTTAACAACTAGCTATTGCTATCTAAAACAGTTACTAACTTGCATGTTCTCTCACATATAGTTACTTGTGTGATAGTAACTTTAAAACCTACAGATTCAATTTGTTTATAATGGCACATTGAGAAGAAAAGAGCATACAAATGTTGTAGATCATGCAGAAACAATTCATTATATGTAATCACAAGAGACAATCACCAATTGTTCTTTCTGTACTTTTGTATTGGAGAGCCCACTCTGTACTGAAGAGGGAGAACTGCCATTTTATAGACTGATGTAAATACTTGATGGTTTGTCAGAAGCTTTTAGATGAAGGTGTGATAATCAAGTTTAGTAGAAATTAAAGAACTGAAATAAAATCTTTTTCTCAATCTTATTTTTTTTTTTATATAGTTTTGCTTTCCCTTGAAAATATGTCAAAAAGTCTGTTTTGGATGTCTGTAAACAAAATATTTTGACATTTCCAAGTCAAACCTTACTCAAGAACCAATAATTAAAATATAACTCAGTTATAAAACAGTACAAAATATCTACAGAAACCTAGCAAATATATAAAGCAAATATAAAAAGCAAATATTTAAAAAAAAAACTCTTATAGTGACAAGGGACGAAGTGGTCTAGCAGTAGAAAGCTGGACTGCTAACCTGTACGTCTCGAGTTAGAATCCGGGTTCAAGTCAGTATAGACCGTCCCTGAGTCCACCCAACTTGGATGGATACCTAACTCACGTTAGGTAAAGTAAAGGCGGCTGGGCATAGTGCTGACCAAACTATCTCTTCATATGCCGAGGTCACAGAAACAAATGAACTCTACTTCACTTGCCCCATAGACCGTCAGGTTTGGAAGGGAAACTTTACTTTTTTTAAATGCACTGAAAATAAGATTTTAAAAAACTAAATTACTTTCTTTACTAAAAGCTTTTGTCACTAAAATATGTAAAAGATCTGATGAGATAAACACATGTTAGGCCTATGACAAAAACCTTTGGGGGGGGGGGGGGCAGTGTTTCTTCCAGACTTTTTTCTCCCCGGGGGGGGGGGGGGAGGGGGGGCACTTGAAATTTTCGCGGGGCGGTAGACTTTCTCCGGGGGGGGGGGGGCGGACACTGTTAAAAGTATATATTTTCTATATACATTTTATTTCGTTCGGGGGGGGGGGGGGGGCGGTAAAAAAATTTCGGGGGGGCTTTGTCCCCTAATGACGTCATTAATGACGTCATGCTTTTGTGACCTCAGAAAAGACCAGACCCTCACCCTAAATAATGTCCTTTATTAATATTAATTCATTATAATTTAATATATAAATGTTGAATCAATTCATTTAGGCCTACTAATAATATAAAAGTCTTACCTTCCTTGTTTTATGAATAAGATGCATCAAACTAATTAATACTCTACTATTAATGTAATACCCGTGGCTAGTGTCTGAACAAAATTGAGAAGTTGAGGATGTACAGCTAGGAAGTACGCCATGTATCTATTCGCTACTAGTGGGAGGGGCTGAGAAAGGAGCTTCAAGGGACAACAAAGCGCCGAGGTTGGTAAATCTCAACTACTTTTCCTAAAGTCTATTGTAAAACACTCAAGGGAGAGAATTCAAATTATATACATTTAATATCACATTTGGGGTTTGTAGGATACAGGATAGTACAGAGTAGTAGTTCTATCAATACCACAAACGTACATGTTACATTTTAAAATCACAATGGATTGTGGTACCCTAAACAACCATATAGAGAAGCTACAAAAGTCGTTTACCATAATTATATAGAGGCCTCTCGCGCAATGGACTTAGATTTTTTTTTCAAAAGAATTTTGCCGGCAACAGCGTTTGTTTGATTGTAGGAGAAAGAGGGCTCGGATTTCACAATAGTTTAGTTTAAAAACAAAGGGAAAAAGAATATACAAGAGCGTTGGGTAGTGTCTAAAGAATAAAGATTATCCAACCGCAAATCCACTATTCTCTTTACAAAACAACCATCAAGTCAAAAATGCATGAAAATTATTGTTTTTTTAATTATGAAAACTTAATTATGGTCGCCTGTGGACCACCTAAACGGCCTGCCCCCACCCCCCCCCCCCCCGAACGAAATGGAATTTATTTAGAAACATAAAGATAAATGTTGTGTCCCCCCCCCCCCCCCCCCCGGAGATAAAAAAAGTCTGAAGAAACACTGTTTGCACACTAGCCAGTCAATGTCCAGTGTGCCAGAATGTTCATTGGTTAAGGCTTCAAGGTTTCATATTTTAAAATGGTTCTTTGGTATTACCTTATGTGTGTTTGTAAAGTGCAGAAAGGCCATTGTCAGGGTTTCTTCAAGGCACCCCCCTCCCACACACACCCCCAAGAACGCCCACCGCCTGAAAATATATTTTATTTAAAAATTTGGTAAATATTTACTTTAAACCGTGTACAGAAATGTAAGTCACAGTAAGTGTGCCCCACCTACATATCCAGTAATATTTAAAATCCAGTAAAGTCAAGGACAAGTTTATTATTTAATGTTTAACTTTAACCTTATTAATAACCAAAAATACATCGAATTTGTTTATACAAAGGTTCAGAGGCGTAGCGACCCTTCCCGGCGCCCGGGGACAAACTTTCGATTTGCACCCCCCCCCCCCAAACTTTGGATTTGCACCCCCCCTCCCCCGTCAAACTTTCAATTTCTTTTTCCAACCCATTTTGGCGCCCCTAAGGTCGGCGCCCGGCCCCCCCCCCCCCCTCGCTACGCCTCTGCAAAGGTTACACAAAATTAGAGTTATGATGTAGACATATTAAATAGGTCTAACATGTCTTTATTTTTTTAATAATACTATTTTTTGTTGTTATTTTGTTGATTATCATTAAGCTGTGGCAAACCCCTTCCCCCCCCCCCCCCACCTAAAATTTTAAAAAGTTGGAAAGATCTCTAGAGACAAGATTTTGATCTAGATCTAGATCTAGACTTAAATTAGACTAGCTAGACTAGCCAAGTAGGCCTAATGGTTTACTGTAGGCCTAAGAAAACGAAGGCCCAGTTAGATTCTAGTGTTGGATCGATTGGCCTAGCACTAGCAGACGATATATGCCGATGGCTCAGGGGAGGCCATTCTAGAAACATTTAGAAATTTGGATCTAGAACTCTAGATCTAGAAAATAAGAACTTGGCCTAACCTTTCTTTATCATGGGATAGATCTAGAATCTAGATCTAGATTAGTAAGTTAACTAACACCTAAAAGTTAAAAGAATGTATAATTCATAGATCTAGAACTAGATCTAGATCTAGTATTTCGTAGCTTTTAATCAAACGGATTAGTAAAAAATTAATGGAGAAAATATGTTGAATCTGAGAAGTGCTTGGTCCTTGAGTATTAAGGCCCACTACTCTCATATTTGAATTTGTATTACATAACTCTAAAACTTAGTTTATTTATGTAACGAAAGTAGATCTAGTATTTACAGTAGTAAGTATGTAGATTGTAGATTCTAGATCTATTTACTCTTAGTAGATCTACTTAGATCTAGAATCTAGGTCTAACTAACTAGTAACTAAAGTAGTAGGCCTAACTAGATTCTAGTTAATAAATCAATAGAACATTCCTATTGAGTATAGTATTGATGAATTATTGAGTATTAGTATTGAGTCTCTACTCAGAAAGTATCGATTAGTATTACTTCTTTATATTTTAATATAGGCCTAGGCCTATTTTAATTAATTAATTTGTGAACATTTTTTAATTTATCAAATATAGATTGTAAATTTCTGTAAGAATTTGTTTTCTTCTTGTCTTTACATTGTAAAAGAAGTGTCCCACTGAGTTCTGTTTGCAGTTGTTATTCTACTGAACTCATCCTGGTCACCGGCTTGAACCACAGTATCACAGTAGGCTGTAAATTGTAAATACATCCTAACCTTTTGAGCTGGGATATTAATTCTATTATATTTATATGCCTAATATTTTCATATTTACATATGGCTTTTTCTAGGGAATAGTTTGTAAATATTATGGTCTGTAGACTCTACCTGAGGCTTCTGAAATGCAGGAAAAGTATATAGATCTAGTCTGTACAATGCAAAATACTTAAAGCTGGCATTAAATTCAAGCTATTATCTACAAGAATAATTGTCTATTGCTAAATTTAAAAAAATAAAATATGTAGTTGATAATGACTGACAGATCAGGCTACAATTAATGATTATTTTTAAAATCATAGACTTATCATACAGACTTGAGTATGTTTTAAATCTAGTTTTTTTTTTGCAGCAATCTTTTATAGCTAATGGCATCTACTAAATTTTACATCTCTTCATAAAGATAAATACAATAATTCACAGAACAGATTTTAAAAAGTAAAAGGTAAATTAGTGTTTGAGAATAATCTGTTAATGACTATTTAAGCAAGTTGTATTTGGCGAAATACGAACATTAGAGTAACGAATACAATTTGTAACATATGCCACACAAAATTTTACTTGCTATGGGCCTGATAAAATGTTAATCTTGTCAATACTTTACAATTCATTGTATTTTGTATTTAATTATTTATGAAATAAGTTTTTTTTTTGTTGCGTAGGGCTTATTAAGTTTATTAAAAATAAATTGTTCATTTTCTTTCATATTTGGCGTTTGAGTTTTACATAAATACTGTTGCAAATTCTAATGTGACCTTTGCACTTCAACAGGTACAAAAATGAACATTGCTGCCAAGATTGGTTTAGTTGGCTCTACATTTTGTGGTGGAGCAGCATTATACATGGCCAAAAAAAATGAAATTGATGTGGACTCATTGGGAGTAGTCAGATTTGGTAGAGCAGCATTCACTGTAAGAAATCAAAAGTACATTCAGATTTTAAACTTCTATATCACACATTACAGAATTTCACTTTTATTTGTTTCAATAATTTCTTTTCCATTTTTGGAATAAAGCAGTTACACTAACTGTCAATGAAAATGTGTCCTAACAGTTGAGTTAGTAATACGAATGCCATCAAGGGTGAATGCAGTAAGAAAAAAATATTACTGTAAAATTAATAACTTAAAAAATGACCACGTATGTTGTGAGTCAACATTTGCAAATGATAACCTACAAATAGTAAAATCATATCGTACTAGTTAGTATCAGAAGCTGTTGTAAATGAGAGAAAATATTTCACTTCTTTTGTTTCAGGCACTTCGAGTTGCTGTTGATTACAAAATACTTTTTTACACACATGATAATTCACACTCTGACTACGCTGAAGCTCTACACAAGGTTCAAATTTGAACAATGCTAATTTTGTTAAATAGAAACCACTGTATATTTTATGGAGCATCAATAATATTATTCCCTACTGAAAGAACATAATTTGTTTTAATAGGAAGTTTTATTTCATTTTTAAATTAAACATTCTTTAGCGATTTTTTAAATTAATGCTACATTTACTTTTTAAAATGAATAACTATTGAAATATCAAATTGTATTGTTAACCTTTCTCACTAACAAAGGTCCACCTTAGTTCTGCTCTAAGATTGAGAGACATGTGCTGTAAGAATGGAGGGGCGTTCATTAAAGTGGGCCAACACTTAGGCTCACTGGAGTACCTACTCCCCATTGAATATGTGAACACCATGAAGGTGTTATATGACCAAGCCCCCCAGGCAGATCTCAAGGATCTGAAAGCTGTTATAGAAAAGGATCTTGGCAAGCAGGTATGTATAGTAGTTGAAATGATTGACAAATTTTGTGATAAGTGACTGATACTTGAGAACAACTCTCATAAGCCCTTTGTTTGTTGTACAGGTTGAAGAAATGTTTGTAGAATTTGATCTCAATTCTACATCTTTAGACCATTGTTTTGTTGTACAGGTTGAAGAAATGTTTGTAGAATTTGATCCCAATTCTACATCTTTAGACCATTGTTTTGTTGTACAGGTTGAAGAAATGTTTGTAGAATTTGATCCCAATTCTACATCTTTAGACCATTGTTTTGTTGTACAGGTTGAAGAAATGTTTGTAGAATTTGATCCCAATTCAACATCTTTAGACCATTGTTTTGTTGTACAGGTTGAAGAAATGTTTGTAGAATTTGATCCCAATTCTACATCTTTAGACCATTGTTTTGTTGTACAGGTTGAAGAAATGTTTGTAGAATTTGATCCCAATTCTACATCTTTAGACCATTGTTTTGTTGTACAGGTTGAAGAAATGTTTGTAGAATTTGATCCCAATTCTACATCTTTAGACCATTGTTTTGTTGTACAGGTTGAAGAAATGTTTGTAGAATTTGATCCCAACTCTACATCTTTAGACCATTGTTTTGTTGTACAGGTTGAAGAAATGTTTGTAGAATTTGATCCCAATTCTACATCTTTAGACCATTGTTTTGTTGTACAGGTTGAAGAAATGTTTGTAGAATTTGATCCCAATTCTACATCTTTAGACCATTGTTTTGTTGTACAGGTTGAAGAAATGTTTGTAGAATTTGATCCCAATTCTACATCTTTAGACCATTGTTAGGGGTCGGCGTGGTCGAATCGGTAAAGCTCATGGTTGCTAAACCGAAAAGTCTCGAGTTCGAACCCCCGGGTAGATGAGGCTCCTTAGCTGGGGACAGCCACTCTTCTAGGAGAGACAACTCCAAAATTAAACAACTGCTGCCTTGTAGTTTGTTCTTGGTTGGACAAAGGCTATGGAAGCAAATCCAAAAAGAAAAGCAGGCTGAAATCGGAGTCAATGGCCTCAATGGCGCATAACCAGTTGACACGTAACGCTTAATTGTGTTGGAGGCGTGGTCGAGTCGGCAAAAAGCTCATGGTTGATAAATTTGAACAGTCTCGAGTTCAACCCCACTGGCAGATAAATCTCGATCCCCTTCAACACTAATAATTAAGAACGAAGAAGAAGAAGAAGAAGAAGACCATTGTTTTGTTGTACAGGTTGAAGAAATGTGTAGAATTTGATCCCAATTCAACATCTTTAGACCATTGTTTTGTTGTACAGGTTGAAGAAATGGTTGTAGAATTTGATCCCAATTCTACATCTTTAGACCATTGTTTTGTTGTACAGGTTGAAGAAATGTTTGTAGAATTTGATCCCAATTCTACATCTTTAGACCATTGTTTTGTTGTACAGGTTGAAGAAATGTTTGTAGAATTTGATCCCAATTCTACATCTTTAGACCATTGTTTTGTTGTACAGGTTGAAGAAATGTTTGTAGAATTTGATCCCAATTCTACATCTTTAGACCATTGTTTTGTTGTGCAGGTTGAAGAAATGTTTGTAGAATTTGATCCCAAGCCTCTGGGTGCTGCATCTTTAGCCCAGGTTCACAAAGCTAAACTATCAGATGGTCGCATTGTTGCTGTCAAAATACAACACCCAAAAGTAAAAGCTCATTCTTATGTTGACATAAAAACCATGGAGGTAAGCAACTAGTTGAGTTGTATCATGAAATTTTATTTTGAAAAAGTTGTACTTTTCATTCTAAATGAAGGCTAAAAAAAGAAAACAAGCCTACTGCTCTTATTGTATATCAGATTATTAACATTGTCCTGTAAATCTATACCATAAATAGGTTGTCAGCTGAGAGACACTTAACACATCCAGTACTAGGATGGAACAGTTAGTTTTTAATTATGTGTTCATTGGCCTTAACCTTCTCCACACATTTCTCTTCCAGTTCCTAGTCCATGCCATTGGCTGGGCATTTCCTGACTTCCATTATGTTTGGTTGGCAGAGGAAACTAAGAAGAACCTACCCATTGAGTTGGATTTTTTAAATGAAGGACAAAATTGTGAAAGGATTGAAAAAATTCTCAGAAAATTTAAATTCTTAAAAGTGAGTTTTCATTACTCAAATAATGCCTAATGCTTAAAACATAATACAGAATAATACTGTAATCATTTAGCAGAATCCAAATCTAAAACGTGCCATAAATTCATAGTTTCTAATATTTCAATGTATACAGGTCATCTGTTTACTTCTCTAACCTGCATTACTCAAACAGGTGCCTAAAATCTATTGGGATCTTTCATCTGACAGAGTACTCACCATGGAGTATTGTGAAGGTGGAAAAGTGGACAACATAAACTACATGAAAGAAAATAATATCTCTGTTAATGAGGTACCAGTATGACCATGTTCTTGCATCTTGGGTGCTTCAGTAAAATGTATACATGTCCTATCCTTTGGTTAAACATGTCCTTTACATTATAGTTCAGTGTGTATCTCTGTCCCACATTATTTACAATGACAGGTATTATTTCAACATTTATTCAAGTTTTAAATTTGATCGCCTGACTATCTTTTGTGTCTAGTGTTGGTCACAGGATGGATTGGTTTAACTATCCTGGCTTCTAATATTTTCATTCATTCCTGTATCTAGAGAATTGTCAGCTGACATTTTATATCTTTTAATCCCTATTGAAGGCTTTGTTGAAACTATAGGTATTGTAAACATATTAATTATCTAGAAAGCCTAGTCTAGATACGAGTTGTCTAGTTACTAGCAAACACCAGTGTTCTACATATTAATGATCTAGAAAGCCTAGTCTAGCCACTAGTTACTAGCAAACACCTGTCTTCTACTTGCAGGTGACTGAACGTTTAGGCCAGCTCTACAGTGAAATGATATTTGTACAGGGCTACGTTCACTGTGATCCACACCCCGGCAATGTTTTGGTCAAGAAAACAAAAAATGGCCCTCAGATTATTTTGCTCGATCATGGCCTTTACCAAGTAAGTAATGTGTTGTTTCAAGTCTGCATCTAATAGTGTTTGTTGTTAGCCTTCAGCATAGATCTTTAAATGAACTAGAACTCACCCAAGCAGTAAGACATTTATATCCCTGCATGCTTAAGTGTTACTGGATGCTATTTCATACATTTATGGCACTTTCTTTTTGATGGTATACATTTTGTTCCAATTTTATTTTAAGTGTCTATTGTATTTAAGTATAAATGTATTAATAATTTTAAATCTAATTTTAAAGACTTTAACAGATGAGTTCCGTGTGAATTATAGCAAAATGTGGATGGCTATGATAAATGCTGATGTTGAAGGGATGAAAACCTACGCTGCAGCTTTGAATGTGGGTGACTTGTATGGATTGTTTGCTTGCATGCTAACTGCTCGTTCATGGAAGTCTTTACAAGCTGGTATAGACAAAAAACAGCTTACACAAGAGGAGGTACAACTATTACAATAATCTTTTTCAGACTCTATGTCTATCCTCTAACTAGGTAGTCCAAACTGGCGAAAAAGTGCGTTTTAGGGTCAGTTTTTGCGGTTTTCAAAAAAAAAATTTCACTACTTCTAGTTGTCCTATAAGAATAAAAATTATATGTCAATAAAGTTTAAGTCTTTATCTGTCGTAATCTGGTATTTTTATATCTGTAACACATGTCTGAATGTGTTTTATATGTGTTTGAAAAGTATCAGTTACGTCAACAAATTTCACCGTCTTGCATGTACCGATCGACCCCACACTGTTTTATTTGGTCGCGGCTTCGCGACGAAGCATCGTAGAAGCATAATCTTAATGTCATTTTAAAGATCGAATTCTAGGCTATCATTTGATGTATAAATTGAAAAAATAACTTGTTTATTTCATTTAAAAAATACAGATTTTAAACTTTAAATGACGATATATACACGGAAACAAACTAATTCTGTTTCAATTTTTACACCGATGTAAAGTTCAGTTTTATAATTACTTTGTGTTGTAAATTCAAGTATTTCTGATTTACGGTCGCGAAGCCGTACCCCCAATAAACATATAACCCTCGAGTCGACTTTCAGCCCCGAGTAAGTTGCTCGCCGAACGGTTTTAAAGGTTGACGACCGATGATGCTAAACGGATTTTACCCTTGCTAGAGACTTCAAACAAGTTGTAAGTATCATTTCTAAAGTTTCATTTCCATTTTAATAAATGAATTTTAAGTTTGAATGTCAGTTTGGTTTAATTAGTACACGTTATTAATGTAAATTTGAACGCTTCAAGTCCACGGTTTTAGCGTGTGAACTACGCTTGTACACAGGGTGTGTTTAGACGTGAAGCTATTTAATTCAGGACATTCTAGGGACTTAAAATATGGATGCACTTAACTATTAGATGCTAGTGTTTACTAATTCTTTAAAATCTATTGACTGGGATCAATGATAGGGTCGTATTACTACAGTTTATCTGGACTATCTCGTCAAAATTATGAATCGACAAATTCAAAATGGCCACCAGACTATCTTGGTTACTATGTGGACGAACTCAATTATTTACAGGGAACGAAGGTTAAATACTTATAAAATATTAATGAAACACAAAAGAAATGTATAATTATAATAACTATACTTTTTTATCGATTTATTTAAAACAAAAGACACTAAATTTTAAGGACTAATGTGATTAATTTTTTTTTATTTTCTATTGTGTGCTCTGATTCTGATTCCCCTGCTAAATAATGTGAAATGGTCTGCGCCAGTCTCCGTAATAAAATGTACCAGATCAATTTTTAGATGGTCGTGCAATTTATTAAGATTCTACATGTTGTGACTTAGTTTTAAATGTTATATTAGTTGTAAGTGTAAGTAGTACTAGTAGTATTTCTCATTATTTATTTATTTTATATGCATATAATAGTAACAATGAAGGACAGTTAAGTTGTCCTATAGGATGTTGAGAACTACAGTATGGCATCTTCATTATTGGATATCTCAACCAGTGTGGCACAAGCAACGAATATTTCAAATTTCATTCAGTAGAATTACTCTTTAAAATATATATAAAGTATAAATTACTTTTAACAAAAAGGTGTTTTCAGGCTTTTTCATATGTTTCCAGTTATAGTCATAGGACAAATAGTAGGCCTACACAATAGGCTGGTAGTAAATTTAATTCTATTTTATTAATCACTAAATCAATTGTTTATTCCATAGCTGGAGACATTTACAGTGGCCTATCCAGAACTTTCCTTACAAGGGAAGGGAAGAAGGCCAAGACCCCACTCCCCCCCCCCCCCTACAATTCCCAAAACATATTACTTACTCTTGATGCTCCACAAGATCAAGGTTGAGGGAAACAAGACGTACAAAGATGTGGAGTTGTAGTTTTAAAAACTGTTCCCCAAAAGCAGTTATCAACCGTATAGGTTTGAAAAGAAACCAAAGCATGTGGCATCAACTGCTGCATCACTTGTAGGCATCACGTCTTTATTAAACTACATTACATTACATTTACTCTACTAAATTTTGATTCTGTTTCTCCTGCACTAGATAACTGTGGTATTTTTTAAAATAATATTTTAACTCATGTGATTTTTTAAATTAATTAACACATTTTTCCACGTTGATGTTACCAACACAATAGTTTTAGAGTTATTCCAAAGCAAAAAAAAAAAAAAAAAAATTGAATTTTTTTTTTTTTTTTTAAATTAAAGTGACCAAAACGCATTTTTGTCATTTTCAATTATTTTTTTACCTTAGAAAGACTCATTTTAGATGACTGAAAAAAATTGGGCATATATATTACAAACTTTGCAGCAACTTTACCAATTTCTACACTTCTATGTTATTTAGTTTAAAAAATATGGGTTCTCAAAAATGGCACTTTTTGAAAATCAGTTTTTTACCAAATTTTGCTTTTTTAAAAATCGCATAACTTTTTTATTTATTGAGATATTTTTATAAAATTTGTGGCATAGACCTTACAATTAAAAGTTCTTTCATGACATACTCACTCCAGAAGTCTGCAATCAATAGTTAATTTCAGTTTGGACTACCTACTCTAACAACAGACATCTATTTCCTTGACCATAAAACTGGAAACTTTTTTGAGTGCATAAGAAGTTATATTTGAGAAATAGTTTTACTTCTAGCTTATCTCTACTGAGGTAACAGTTAATGAAACAGGGTGTTTAAATAATCACACAAGTCCTACTTTTTGGATTTAGCTGAAGCACAAGGTAAATACATGATGATGCAGGCTATTTATACTTGTTAATAAGAATATGAAATAAATATAAGCTATGAGAAATGTAATCAACAGAATCAAGAGATCAAAGACAATGTTGGCAATTATTTAGTGGACATTTCATCTATTCTGGGGCGAGTACCAAGACAAATGCTGCTACTCCTGAAAACAAATGATGTTCTACGTGGCATTGAATCATCACTAAAGTCTCATCCTAGCTCAGCGTCTTTTATAAACATGTCTCGTTGCTGTATCCAGGTTAGTAGTTTTATGGCAATGAAGAAAAACTTTGAATTTTTAAAAAGATTTTGCATCAAAAAGGCATTTATTGTTAACTTAAAGAAACATGATTTAGTTCATGAAATTGGAAAAAAGAAAAAAAATTTTTGTCACAAATTATTAATTCTGAATTAACCGTTAAATTTTTTACACAATAATAAATTTTTTTTTGTAGTTACGTGTTACTAGTTGTAAGAAACACAGAAAGGTTGAATACTGTAATTGTTCTAAAAATGTATTTGCTTTTCCTATCCAGGCCGTGACAGACTGGGAACTCGCCTTATGCCAGAACTGGCAATGTTTCTTAAGGACCAGATTACATCAGTATATTCAACTAAGTCGCATCTCCCTCTACTCACTCTACCTGTGGATTCTCAATTTTCCTGCTGGTTCATTATTTAAGTCTCAATCTTGATGCTACTTAATGTGTACTTTTTATTTTAGTATCATAGTCATTGTACAGATGCCTGTTATAAATATAGTTTCTAAGTTAAAAACTTGATAAAGATTAAAGACTATACATTGCATCATTTTCTTGTGAAGTGATAGATGGTGTTTTCTGGTGAAATGATGAAAAATCTTACTTAGAAGTCATAAACAAATCTGCCATTTCAGGCAGAATTAGTCTAGTGATATTACCACACAATCTCAGGTCTATTCACATAATACTTGGTTATTATTTAAGTGTTCTGTAATCTGAGTGCTAAAACATTGAAATAAAATACATTAATCTCACACTCACACACAAATCCAATGAATTCTGACAAACTTTGTGAAAGGTATTTAATTGAATCACAATTCTAATAACAAATATTGTGGTTTCAAAAACAAAACTGAAATAAATACAATTGAAAGAAGAATAATCTTGAATGTTCTGTGAGGTATTTTATTTGCTTACCAGTATTTACAAGCTGTATTAAGATATATAACAGTGGCTGACTAAATGATGCTGATAACTCTTTCACCATTCGCTTCATGTATTGGCATCGTATTTTCATATCAAACTAATAACTCGGTACTAAACCTATTTCAGTTGGGTCTTTTACATAAATTATGATAAATAGAACTCTGGATATAGCATTAAATAAAAATACTACATTATTTAATTTTCGATGTTAGATTTATTAAAGAAAAAGTATGAAAACACCCCTACTTAAACATTGCCATTTAACAAAAAACAAAATGGCACTCACTTGTACTGCTTTGTGACTTGCTATCTAAGCAGCCAAATTTGTTATTTAAAAGAACTGAATAGTATGTACAAGAGACTGTAATTGCAAAATAAAATGTCAAGCCAATGTTTTTTGCTATTTCCTAAAATAATTGATCACAGGGAAACTTAGAAGCAATTCACATATCACACTTTAAAAAAAATGGTTCCATTGTGGTCTGATAAATCATAGAAAAATGGAATTGGATGACAGGGATTAAAAACAAAAAGGTTTATCTAAATTCTACAAACTGATAAGGCCATAACCATTTAAAAGTAACAAAAAAGCCCATAAATTCACAGGAGCTCAACATCTAAATATTTTCAATCTATCCCACAGTTTATTGCTTGATAGTAATTATCATCCAAAATTGTTTTTAAAATGCAATTTAATTCCAATAGGTAATGTGTAGAAATGCATATTAAATATTTCTTCACAAATACTGTCTTTGAGACATGACATTTGGTCTTAGTGTTGTATGAAGGCTGACCCTTCCATTTCCATTCTTTTTCTTTTACCTGAAATGGTTTTCAATTACCAGTTTATAAATAATATTTATATAGTAAAATTATGAACATCAGGGTGGTAACAGGGACCCACCGATGACCATTTCTTTTTTTGTAAATGGCTAGAATTATTTCTTTTCCAATGCTAGCTGTTTCCCTTCTCAACAAGTTTTCATAGATAAATAAGGAAAATAATCAATTCCAATTTTCAAGTACTTTAATTACGAACTGACTATTACTGTTGTCTACACATTTTTAAAAAATCAAATTTTGTTAAATTAAAATCGATGCCAGATAAAAATCCACATAAAAACGGTAGGTAATTCCTAAAACAGGTAGAGGTAAAACCAAAAGTGGACCAAGAATACACGAAATACCTGACTGTTGTGTAGCTGCCTCAGAGATATTGCTAAGTGACTTGGCCCTGTAGATGTGCTCATACTCCTGTCAGAATTAGAGAAATATTTGACAACAAATACATCATAACATTATTGTACTTTATAAATTTAAAAAATATACACCTTGAGTCTGAAGTGATTTAAAATTAATTTTCTACTGATATTGTTAAAGACATTTGAAATACTAAATAAATATAGAAATACATACCTAAAAAATACTTTAATGTTTATTGTGGCATAAGAAAAAAAATGGGCTCAGCCCTAATGCTGTGGCTTGTTTAGGGGTTGAAGACAAAATAGCCATTCAGCTTTAGAATGATATTTTATGCGGTTTTTTAATTTCGACTTGCCCAAAAGTTAATTATTTCAAACCATGGTTTTAGGTGAAATATTAGTGATCAAGAGCACAAATATTAACACATAAGCCTGGAAGTGAGTTTCTGGATTTATGTCCACCCTGATATAATGGGTTACTGCCTTAAGTTAGGGCAAGTAAAGAGATCACTAGGTGTAGAAGTGACCACACTATTTCCTTATAGGCTGAAGTCAAAGGAAGAGGCAACTCAAGTGACCCTGTTTTACATAAGACCCAGTATGAAGTTTGTGTCAAATACAACTTACTGTCAGCTGATGTAGAAATCCATCATTTAGACTGATACACAATCTTTTATTGCGGACCCATACTAGTGCTTCCCTGTAAAACAATGACAAGGTTTGAGCCAAACTAATTTAAAAGCTAATAATTTATGGTAATTAAACAAGAGGAGAAAAATAAGTCTGCAAAGTGGAATTAGAAACCAATACAGCTATACAACCTTGGTCTGATCAAAAATAAAGTATCCAGTGCAAATGTTTACGTCAATGGGTAGGCATTTTTAAAAATTACATCAGCACAAGTCAATTTAAATAATAAAAGAGATTACAAATGATAAACAAACCTGCATGTTAAGCCCAACTTTTCCATGACATAAGCTGTGACAACAGCAGCACTAGAAATACAATTTTTTATTTTAGTTTTAGAATTTCTTTTAAACTGTGTTTCTAATATAGCATTATTATTAATACAAGAATTGAACAGTTTCTCCAGCAAAAAATGAATCCTGAGAAGACTCAGATAAACTATAAACAGAATAAAGCCAAGTTTACCTTCGAGAAATGCCGCCATTTCCATGAACCAAAACTTTGCCACCTTGATTCAGGCAATCATCAATAAAATCTTTTGTCTAGTGTCAAGATTTCAAACAATTAAACTCATTGTAAAAACAACTACAATAGATCAGAAAATGGTAGATAATATCTGTCATTGTAAGGGATTGTTTACTCTACCATTGTGAGACAGTGTGGTCATAGGCAGAGCACACAACAAGAAACATGGAAGTCTCATCAATATTGGTTAGCTCCATCAACTTTTTTGTTTCAAATATATTTCTTGTAAATTATTTAAATGTTTTCTTGTAATAAAACAACTATGCTTAACTATGATGGTTATTAATGTTTAAGGTAAAACTGTTATTTTTTGTTGTTGCTAATATTGAGTGACAACTCAAAACTCTCCTAAAGTTCAAATTCAGATACAAATGTATAAGCTATGGTAAATAAGATCAAACTTAAACATAAACCTATTAATTACGACTCGTAGAGATTTTCTGTCAAAGTAAAAGAAAACTAATAAAAATGTCAGAGGAAGCTAGTATGGTTTACCTGTTGAAAATACTTGATGATGTTTTCAGTGGGGGAATCAGCCATATTTAATACAAGGTACCTGTATTAAGATTTGAGGTCAAGAGTGTTTATTTTCTAGCCTTAATGGACTAAAGCAGCACTCACAATCAAGTACAATTTTTATAAAATCTGTATAAAAACAAGCTTTTCAATGCACTTTTTAAAAAACACATAATCTTGTGGTAAAAATACAAACTGTATAGAAAAGATTTCTTGAGACATTTAAAATAAAAAACATACCTAAAATGCTCTGGAAAATTTGGTCTGACAAAGTTAGCTTCAATAGATTGTCTAATACAGATGATGTGTGTGATCCCTGCAGCCATCAGACTGTCAAGCTATGAAGAGAGAAAAGATCCTGATAGTGGTCACAAACAATGCTGTCTCACTGCTTGAAACAAATCTTACAGAGGCTTAGCTAAGCTCAATGGCTGCTGTATGTCACAGGTGATTAAACATTAATCAGGCTAAGGTAAAAAGAGGCCTTATAATTCCATGCAAAACATGATTAAAAAGGAAAAATCCTTATCATACCTTAGTCCTTAAGGCAGATCCATAAGGTCCCAAAAACAAGCCAGGAATAATTTCCTAATTAAAAAAAACATTAAATTTTTTTAGGAGCAACATTTTAGGCTGATATAAAATAAATAATGTAAAGTAACATTTCTTTTATTATATGGCTCATTTTGACTTAAAGAATCTTTTAATGTGTTTTATTACTTGTATATTACAATAAAATTTACTTAAATTTTAGATTCAATTATTTTTTATAACAGCCAGAATTACCTGCATCTCTCTACGCATTGCATACTGCCACTCCTGCAAGTATAAAAGTTTTTTAATACTGGAATGTGCAGAAAATACAAAGTAAATACATTTTATTGTTTAGTTAACCATTGTAGGCTAATAAAATATCACGGGCAAGGGGAATTATTTAATAAAACTATAAATGAGATTTACTTAACTGTTTCAAGATCATTCTCTGGACTCGTCATCATCATTATTCATGTTTTCTAACTTTCAATCATTTTGTCTGTAATATACAAGTAAATAAATAACTTCCCTTTAAAGTGTCACCATTCTGATCACGTTCTTATGATACTGCAACAAGAAAATTGTGTACCATTTTAGAAAGGTTGCTGTTTTTTATTTTAATATTTAATTCTTTCTATTTTTACTTATAAAGTTGACAAAAACTTGCTGATTACATTGTTGTTCTTGAGTGCATCATACATATGCTTGAAAACAGTCCTGATCATGCTATTCTTGCTAATGATAATGGAATATTCTAATTAAGGGGATGGCAGGATATTAACAGAAGATTTTGGGACTGAAATAGTTCAGTTACAACATGGTAGATTAAATTGTGGGACTGAAATAGTTCAGTTACAACATGGTAGATTAAATTGTGGGACTGAAATAGTTCAGTTACAACATGGTAGATTAAATTGTGGGACTGAAATAGTTCAGTTACAACATGGTAGATTAAATTGTGGGACTGAAATAGTTCAGTTACAACATGGTAGATTAAATTGTGGGACTGAAATAGTTCAGTTACAACATGGTAGATAAAATTGTGGGACTGAAATAGTTCAGTTACAACATGGTAGATTAAATTGTGGGACTGAAATAGTTCAGTTACAACATAGTAGATTAAATTGTGGGACTGAAATAGTTCAGTTACAACATGGTAGATAAAATTGTGGGACTGAAATAGTTCAGTTACAACATGGTAGATTAAATTGTGGGACTGAAATAGTTCAGTTACAACATGGTAGATTAAATTGTGGAAAATAGAAAATATACCAATCTGGCAAGCAGACCATTTAATTCTGGTCTCGTAGGTTCATTTTGTTTGTACTTGTAACTCTGTGTTTCTTTCAGCTATCTCTCAGGGTGGGCACAAAGAGAAGACCCCCCCCCCTCCCCCCAACGTCTGGAGAAACTTAATAAAGCTTATTTGGTACCATCTTTTATTTTTAATACAGAATGTTCAATAATTTGGATAGACTGATTTTTTGCATGTTAAATACTGTTTTACCTAGATCTACATTCTAAATTAAAATCTGGACTCTAGACTAGACTAATCTTAGAATCTAGTACCAAGTAAATCGAGATCCAGATGCTATTCTTATAGTAATTCTTCTAGGTCTAGATCTAGATAGAAATTCTGATAGAATCCATGCATCTTCTAGATCTGGATCAAATCAAATCTAGATCTAACAGATTTTAATCAGTACGATCCACTAGATCTATTAATTTAGATCTAGAGATAGATCTAATGTTCTAATCTAGCGATAGATCGATTGTAGGAAAAAAGTCACAGGAAAAAAGTCGCAAATATATATTTGCATGGGATTTGTTAATATGTTTATGAATTATATATTCAGAGAGTGCAAATTAACATAGGATTAATTAAATGTAAAGTAATGTGTGTAGGTTGTATACGCATGATAATTTTTATAATTCATCTAAAAATATTTACTATGAAGTATGTAATTATGTTGAACATAATATTAATAGAATTTAATAGAATGTTCAAATGTCCTCGGTTTTCATCATGTTTTTTAAAAATACTAACATTAAATTACCGTGAAATGGTAAGTTCATCTAACTTGCTGCCCTCAACTCATCGCAACAATAGTTATGATTAGTTCAACCACCTTTACCGCCCACATTTAACAAGCTCATTACATAACAAAGCATAAGATCAAAACAGAAAGCCGACAAATTTCAAAGGATGTCATTAACACAAAACGTCTACAACACAATATGTTCGGACAAGGCCGACTGAGGAGAGCCGACCAGACAATAGCCTATGGCAAAACATGCAAGACACAATGATGTGCCTAAATTTATTTTATAATTAACTTTTCAAACGCGTGTTTAACTAAATACGTAACAAAAGTTGAGATTGTTAGGTAAATTATCTTAGAGTATTTTTATTTACAATTGTTATAAACCATAATGCTTTTAACGTCTATAAATAATTTATGCTATCAAAAAATACAACCCACAACAGAAAACATACAAAATTTTATAATTTTCAACAAATAAATCAAAATATTTCTGAAAAGATTTTTGTGTCTTTTTTTCAGTGACCTTATTTATGTGACTTTTTTCCGATAAAATTTTTCCATTGTGACTTTTTTTCTGTCTTTTTTTCTTAGCAAAAACTGACTTTTTTTCTGTGTTTTTTTTTCATTCACCGATAGATCAAGTGCTACACTAAAATTAGATTTAGAAATCTAAATCTAGTCTGATTGGCAGAGTGTAATAATAAGCTAACTAATTCTAAACTGACTAAACATTAATCTCATAATCTGAATTATTAAGATTTTGAAATCTAGATCTTCTAGACCTAAACTAGCTCTATATCCAGATCCAGTTAGGTAATCTACTGTTTTAGGTACATAAAATCGTCGGAGACTAGTCAATAAGTCATGTGAAAAAACGGTGACTCATCAAATTTTAGTAATTTTTTCACATTTTTAGGATTTATGTTTTGAATGTTACAAAAATGTTAGGCCTACAAAGCTGCATTCATGGACCTGTTTTTAAACAATTGTATTAAAACTTTTCTGTACTAAATGATGACTTGCAATGTTTTCATCAGATGCAACCGAACTCATTTACTTTAGCAGTAATAGCAGCCTTCTTGCTTAAGTTTTTTTTGGTAAAATTATACTATTATAGAGATTCAGGGGAAACCACTCTACAGATGGCCTGCTGTTTATGTAGCAAATCTTGCTCGCAAACACTGCCGTTTTAAATTAAGTTCTGGCCTATATTGATATATTTAGCCATTGATTTTGGCAACTTTTTTTCACATTGCTAGCCTCTGCCGATTTTACGCACCTAAAGCCCAAAACTTCTTTAAAAAGTTAAAAGGGGGTGTAGGTTACTGGTAGTTAAGTAAATACACTACACACATGGCTGGCTAATGTCAATGCTAACCCTGTCCCTAACCCTAACCATAGTCCTACCATAATGATTATCATAATTTCTAATACATAAACTTAGTTGAGATTTGAATACTACTAACAACCCAACACACCTATTTTATGAAAGAGTAGATTACCTCTGGATCTAGATTAGTTTTAGTAGTTATACTATTCTAGTTTTAGAGTTTTCTAGACTTTTAAAGAGAGTTTAATTAGATTACTTGAATAGATTTAGATCTTCTACATTCTAGTATTTAAGATCTAGATTCTAAACTAGATCACTTATCTTGATCTTTTTCTAGATCTAGACTAGATCTCTGAGCTAGAAGATCTAGATCTAATTATAATCTCACTAATCTAATCTAGAGTTTCTAGACAGAGAGGCAGACAAGGCCAAGGTAATCTTATCTTTTTTTTTAGTCTATATTCTAGACTCTAGATCAGGGGTCTCCAAACTATGGCCCGCGGGCAAAATGCGGCCAGTGAGGTCCTCTCATCCAGCCCGCTGAGATTTTTTTTGTCTATGGAAAAAAATGTTTGTTGGAGGTGGCTGAGGAACTTTGCCCAAAAAATTCAAACAATTAAAAAATGTAGCTTAATGCAAATACCATTGCCCGTAGTGTGTCAGACATTGGTGAAAACAATGCAAGTTTCGCCATTTTTCAATTGCAAAGGATGAGTCGCTTGACAGCTGACCCACCTCTCAACTGCTTGTGTTGATTAGAGGTGTGGATTAAGACAAACATAACACAAGAGCTGGCTTCCCTACATAACATGTATGGCACTGTTACTAGAGTTAAAATGAGTCAAAAAGTGAGTTAAAAAAAACATTTACTGCTTATAACTTGGACTGGACTAACCTGTTACCTGTTGTTGATGGAGAAAAGAACACAAGTGGCATAAAATACTTAAAAAAAACTTTTTAAAAAACCACGTTTTTCTTGTGGACTAAAAAGTAGAAAATAACTATTTACATACATTTGATGACAAAAAACGTGGGTACGTTCACCATCAAATTTCCCGACCCATCTGCCCGACCCACGTTTTTTGTCATCAAATGTATGTAAATAGTTATTTTCTACTTTTTAGTCCACAAGATAAACGTGGTTTTTTAAAAAGTTTTTTTTAAGTATTTTATTTTCTCCTTTTTAGTCCGTTGCTACACATGAAAAACATGGTTTTTAAAAAAGTGTTTATGAATACACGGACTAAAAATCTTGAGCGACCAGGATTCGAACCTGGGTTGTCGCGGCCACAACGCGAAGTACTAACCACTATACGATCACAGCCAGCGCGCTCACATCGATTGGGGTCGAAGTAATTGTGTCAATAGGCCTCAAGTGTTGTCGGTATCTTTAGAAATCATGTCCTCAATTTTATGGTCCTTGGGGCGTAATTAAATTAAGCTAATTACGGTCACTAATTGCTAGTTTTTATGATTGCATCTGAAATTGTTAGGCGAAAGTAGAATGCATGCCAAATTTCAGGTCTCTAGAGCAATCAGAAGTGGGCTAATTTTCGATGTCAATTTTAACAACAAACATCCAAACAAACGCGAAGCTGAGTTAAGAAAAACGTTTTAATAAAGAAAGGCTTGGTTGGACAAGCCAAGCAGATGTGTAGTGAGAAAAAACATTCTACAACCAATGTTCCTGCAAACATTGTGTGCTAAATATGTGCATATTAGCAATGTACTGAATCCTGGGTGAAGATGGTGAGTTTAATAAGGTCACATGGGCTCAACCATAGACAGTTCAGAGACATGTTGAAAGATTTAAGATTAAAACAGAATTGCAAAATTTACCATATTACATAGCACTAAGATCGTTATGTTAATGTCTGATGAAGAGTGGGTTAAGAAATTGGATTCTGCTGTTAAGAACAATAATTGAAAACAAACTTGGACCCCGAGTGTGTTGTCAGCCCCCAACAGTGTTTCTTTCAGACTTTCAGACAAAAGTGTAGGCACTATACATTTCTATATAAATTTTATTTCGTTGGAGGGGGGGAGGTAGAAGCTCTTCAGAAGGGGGGGGGGGAGGGGGGCTCTGCCACTCCAAAGCCAGAAACTCTGGCCCTGAACTGATATTTGTTGAGTTGAGAGTTAATGCAGCCTTGGGCTGAAAAAGTTTGGAGACCCTTGCTCTAGAACTCTAGATGATACTCTAGATGATCCTAAATCTAGATAGATTCTAGATCTAGAATCTACTATCTAGATCTAGTTCTAGATTCTAGATCTGAGATTAGATCAAGACTAGATCAGACTAGATCTAGATCTAGTCACTAGGAGTAGGAGGAGAGTAGATCTAGATCTAGATCAGTCAGTACTCAGTACTCAGTAGTAACGAAGTTTTTAAATTCTAGATCTAGATCTAGACTAGATCTAGATCTAGCTGGATAGAATCTAGATAGATCTAGAGTCTAGATCTAGACTCAAATTATTTTTTAATAATGTATCTTTGAACCTTTGATCAAGAAGACTAGAGAAAAAATAATTGATTTTCTGCACTATGTGGACGCTATACAAATTCAGTTACAATTTGACTGTTGATGATGTTTACCAAAAGTTTTTCAAAATATAAACGGAATAATTATCGGAACTATTATAAATCTTGATCAATCACGGTGTAAGCTTAGGAAGTTGTGCAAAAAAAAAAATAATTAAAAAATATAGTCTACAAATGATTTCAATTTATTATTATTTACCTTTAATGTCAATATTGAGATAATGCTGCATGTAGGCTCTATATTAGTAGTATTATTACATTAGGCTATATTGGGTGAGGTACAACTGACAACACCATCTACGACCTCCTTATTTTAGTATCAGTAGGGGGGGGGGGGGGGGCTCGTGTGAGCCGCCGATTAAACTACCTGGGCGCCGAGTTGCTTTGGTTTAGTCATCGAAGCCCACCACACACCCTCTTGTAAGACGCCCTTTAAAACGAATGTAGGTGTCAATGAGCTCTTAGGGTAGGTCGGGGTTCTTCTGCAGGGTTTATTTCAGACATATTTTCTCGGGGGGGGGGGGGGGGCACCAGCGAAAGTATATTTTGAACAAACATTCGATTTTCGTTCGGAGGAGCATTAGACGTTCATTTACAAAACGGTTGGAAAAATATCGATGTTTTAAGAAAAATTCAATAGCCTTTTTGAGGGGGTCAAGTTTTTTGTGACGGAGGGGAGGGGGGGGGGTAAAAATCGTCAAAAAAGCGTGACGTCATTTATGGATCCCCAAATAACGGCACCAAATTCATGATATATAGGCTTATCCTATAATATATACATCTAGCCCCTACGATATTTTTAAAATGCTTATGTTGATGCCAGGGTTAGAATGAATTATATGCAAAGGGGAATAAACGTATTAATATTTTCGCTATATTTTTTTATGCCTGATTATATCCCTTATTTTCGATTAAATAACCTGTGTAGTGAAGATAAAGATCTGAAGGAGAATATTTTAAAAATTACATGACAGAAACCTCCAGGGCGTACCAAACAAACTCCCAAAGTTTCATGGATGTATTTTTAATCACAATCATTATCACATCTGGGTTGGTAGGCCTGTGCATTTTTTGACTACAGTAAATAGTGTTAGTAAGGCATTAGCCATTAGTCATTAGGACTTAGGTTAGTGGTTACTGGTTAGACGGGGGTAGTGAATAGGACTTAGAAATAGAATTATAGGACTTAGAATCCATATTGCAACTTGTTGTTAGGGATTGTGCACGAGTTTTTACAATATGCAATGATGAATCATGTGTTTAAATTAAAGTCTAAATTGATTTTATAGGTCTAGATACTACTAGATATGGGTTTATTTTATGAATATTGGATTCCTCTCAACGGTTTTCTTGCAGAAGACTGTAGGCCCTTGTATGGAATTCTCTAATAATTAAGAAAAATGTCGAAAAAGAAACGTAAAAAGAAACCCAGACCTTTGGCAGTAGCTCATTTAAACGCAGTATTACAATTTATTACAAAAAAGGCAAACCGCTCATTTATTTTAGCAGAAAGCGGTGGTTTTCGTCTCTTAGTAAGACTGTTTATTAGTAAGAGTGTTTATTATGTCTATTCGACTCTAGATTCTAGATCTAGAATAAGTATAAGATCTAGATCTAGATCCTATTTTCTAGAATCTTGATAATACTAGATTATTAACACTAGAATACTAGATTATTATAGATCTCTAGATCTAGCAAGACACTTGATCTCATAGCGTAGACCCTTGTCATGGTAGTGAGAAATGTTAATTTAAATTTAAGGGTGTGGGGAAATTGCGAGACGCGAAAAGCGAAATGGCGAGGCGGGAAAATGCGAGAACGGCACGAAAACAGTCGGTCACGTGACTTTTTGTCTCGCATTTTACCACAACCCGATACTTACGCTGGGTGGTGTTGAAATGCAAAGATTTCTGCGAAAAATTACCGCACCCGATTTTCAGTGGTATTTGGCCAGACTTCAAAGACGTTTCGTTTACATTGTTAAAACTTCCGATTTTTTCCGTCGCTAGACATACTGATGATTTGTCAACTCCCCCCATCATTTGTGTCGACTTGGAATACCACCTTGTTCGAAACCGACGGAAATACCGCAGACGATAGATCAACTTCTTTCTTTTGTGTGGATCTGCCGAGGCCGCCTGATTTACCGTCTTTGAAGATCACCGAGCCCGATTCCGCTGCCGCCGCAAACATATTTTGTATTGTTGCATAGAAATGTGTTATGAGGAGGGGGGGGGGGGGGGTTAGATATTGTGACGTCACACTATATAAAGCAATGTTAAAAAAGAATTTTAGACAATATTTCGCGTTTTTAATTTTAATAAATTGTAATAGGAATTGATTAAAATACTCTATTTGGACAGAAATTTGACAAGATTTTGGGAAAATATCGATGTTTTAAAAAAAAATTCAACTGCAATTTTGAAGTGGGTTGTAGGCTGAGGTGTGACGTCATTTTAGTGGGGGGGGGGGGGGGGGGGGGCTCTGGATTTTTGTGAAATTGTGTGACGGATGGGAGGGGGGGGGGGGGGCAAAAATAGTCAAAAAAGCGTAACGGAACGTCATTTATGGATGACACCTTTTAGCTATTAAATGGTAGTTTTGTCGATAGCGGATTTTATTCAGATTATCTACAAACGTTGTGTGTTAGCAGAGTATAAATGGGAGTCTAATGAACTGGGTTGGATGTACTATGTGTGAAAGATGGTGTCACGAGGTGTGTTTGAGTAGTGCTAGGACTGTTTCAGAAGATTCTGTTTGTAAATTTAAATAAATAAAGATGAAAAAAGCATGAAAAAAACTTTTTTTTCGCAAAAAGTATCTCGCTATTTACCCTTAATTCCGCAGGTATGTCTCGCATTATCTTCTCGCATTTTCCCGCCTCGCCATTTCGCTTTCCGCGTCTCGCAATCTCCCAACACCCTTAATTTAATTAATTTCAAGGTAATCTATCGTTTTAGGTACGTAAAATCGCCCGTGGCTAATAATGTACGAAAAAGTTACCTCATTGTCAAGGCTTTAATAGAAGGATATTGTGATGAATGTGTGTCAAATATTATAGATAAATGAATAATAAACCTAAATCAATGGCTAAATATATCAATAAAGGCAAAAAATAAACTTTAAACACCAGTGTTTGCGAGCAGGATTTGCTATATAAAAAGCGACCATCTGTAAGTTAGAGTGGCTTCCCCTGAATCTTGCGCTATAAGTTTACTATAAAAAAATAAATAAACATGATGGCTGCTATAGTAAATGAGCATGGTTGCATCTGTTGGAAACATCGCTGACGCTAGTCTTCATTTATTACTGAAAAGTTTTAACTCAGTTTACAGTTGTTTAAAAACTAATAAAAACTTATGAGTCTAGATCTACATAAATTTAAATGAAACAAGGAAACATTTTTGTATTTTTCAAAACATAAATCCTCCTCAAAATGTGAAATAATTATTAAAATTTAAGGAGTCACCTGTCTTTCACATTACTAGTCGCTGGCGATTTTACATACCTAAAACGATAGATTACCTCAACTAGGACTATTAGGCATATACTATACTAGGCCTAGAATCATTAGAATGCCCTACTAGGCCCTCTTCTAGATTCTATAATCTAAAATAATCTATATTATATAGATCTAGATCTCGTATAGTTCTATAGAATATAGATAGATCTATCTAAGAATCTATAGTCTATAGGCCTATAGTATAGTATTTAAGTAGTGAACTACTAACTAAACTGATGCATAATTAATATCATGTATTTAAAAATTACTAGATCTATTAATTATTAATTAGACTAGTAAAGTATAGATTTGATTAGAGTGCATATATATTGATAATTATCAGTTCTACCACTGACAGCAGATATGAGCCTATAAGTTAAACTTTAACTATAATATTTTTAGCGCAATTTCCATACTGGAATTAGATTATTAATTCGTCATTTCTGGATGTGTTTCCGCAGCTTTACCGCAGCTTTAAGTCGTATCTCCTCCTCAACGAAGCAATATCGAGGACTAGTTCCAAAAGCAAATATGTTAAGCAAGTTCCGAGGATGATTGTGGGCCAAAAAAAATCCCGGAATTCCTTCCTGGATTTCCCGGAAAAGCCAAAAAATCTCGAAAAAACGCAGTTTTTGCTCCATATCTCGGCAACCAGACCACTTAGCGACTTGAAACATTTACCAATCCATTCCTGGCATAATTTAGAACAATATTGCCGAAGAAAGTTTTCAAAAATATCCTTTCGATCGGTCACAAAATTTTTTTTAAAATTACACTATACATAATACACTACAGTACTATATAGCAATATAGAGAGCGCGACAACTAAATACCCCCTACACGTCCGCAAATTTTTTTAAATCTCGTTAATAAATATTTTTTCTATTTTGTTTTGAATTATTAAAACTACTTGTGTTGCATTATTTATTTGCTGAATATATGATTTATCTCGATTTAAAATTGTTATGGATAACATAAGTAAATTGCGCTTAAATTGTCACTAGACTTTTTATTAACTTGTTTTTAATGAAATTATAACACAATAAAAAATAGTACTGCTCACTTAATAGCAGTCACAATAAATGCTTTTAAAATTTATTATCGTAAGATATTACTCCCAGTCTCATTTAGCATGAAATGACAGCCAACTGGGAATAGCCGTATTGGGGCATAAGACCCTACTATGGCATTAGTATGGACATTTATAAAGCATTAATATATCTCATATTGAGAACAACTACTAAGAGTTGATATCATTTGCTTAAACTTAACTCTCTAAAACTGAAACTTTTTTTTTATGAAAAAGGTGCTGATGTTAAAGAGCTTCTTTTGATGATGACCATACTCGCCACCAAATGGGTTTTGACAGCCATTGTAATTTTGAACTGCGCTTGTCTAGCCATCACTGTAAGCAGCTCCTACAGTAGGGTAATTCAGAGCCTCGAAGACGAGATCAGTGCTGAAAATTTCACATATTATCGTCTTCAGCGTACTGGTGCCCTGAGACTGGAGTTACAGAGTATTGCAGGGGATGTAGATGTCTATATTAGTGCTGAGGTAATCACCTTTTTAATGATTTTGATCAATTTTTTTTTTACCACGTATAAATAATTTTGTTTGATAATTCTTTTTAAATTAAGCTGACAAAATAATGAGAGTAATATTTGAATTGTTTCCGCAGGTCCAGCATCCTGACTATGGGACATATGATTTAAAATCTGAGAGCTGTGGCCTAGACGTCATCTCTATACCGTCAACTATGTCAAGGCCGGTGTACATATCTTTGTTTGGTCATCCAAATTACTTGAGCTCTAAATACCGCCTGACCATCCTGGAGGTAGACGAGCCTGTTGTAGATGATTATGAGGCACTGGTGGATAAGTATGAGAGGTTATATCAGTTTTTTATGAGAGGTTATATCAGTTTTTTATGAGAGGTTATATCAGTTTTTTATGAGAGGTTATATCAGTTTTTTATGAGAGGTTATATCAGTTTTTTATGAGAGGTTATATCAGTTTTTTATGAGAGGTTATATCAGTTTTTTATGAGAGGTTATATCAGTTTTTTATGAGAGGTTATATCAGTTTTTTATGAGAGGTTATATCAGTTTTTTATGAGAGGTTATATCAGTTTTTTATGAGAGGTTATATCAGTTTTTTATGAGAGGTTATATCAGTTTTTTATGAGAGGTTATATCAGTTTTTTATGAGAGGTTATATCAGTTTTTTATGAGAGGTTATATCAGTTTTTTATGAGAGGTTATATCAGCTTTTTATGAGAGGTTATATCAGTTTTTTATGAGAGGTTATATCAGTTTTTTATGAGAGGTTATATAATTGGTTTTCAATGAGAGGTTATATACATTTTTTATTTTTGAGATTATATCATTGTTTATCTATGAGTAGTATGAGAGGGTATATCAATTTTTCTGTGAAATGTTAAATCATTGTTTTGGTTTTGAGACATTTAGCCTTTAGCTTTATTTATAAGTGTATTTATTGATTACATGATGATTTTTTTGGCTACAGGACATTACCCCCTTGGACAATCCCCCCCCCCCCCCCCCCCCCCTACCCACCAAGATTGAATCCTGATTCTAACTCCAACTCATAAGACAAAACGAAAAACCTAAGAATTCACCTCACCCTATAATAAACCCAAAACCAAACCCAACTCTAGACATTGATTTAAGCCTAACCCTGATACTAGCCGTAGCCCTAACCCTATCCGTAGCCCTAGCCCTAAACCTACACCTAGCCCAAACTCAAACCCAGCTCTAACCCTAGCTGAACCTTAGAAAATGGGTAATGACTATTGGGGGGGAAGGGGAGAATGCCCTGTTCATGAATTTTTTTGAGTTTAAAAAGTTCAAATATTTGATTTTATAAAGCAATATTTTGTTGCATATACCACATTTGTATAATATGCCATTATTTCCCCATTGTTTTCCTCAGATATTACTATGAAGAGATGGAGGGTGGATCCTCAAGTGATGATAGCTATGAAAAAAGATCTTCCAAGGCTCCGGATAGCTCATCCAGTTTTGATCACCATGCAGAGGAGGAGTTACCTGTCTGGTGGAAGATTTTACTGGGCATTTTAGAGTTTGGTATTGAGGTCAGTTCACATTGTTTTCTGGTACCTGCAGGTCATATTCTACCTGCAGGTTATATTCTACCTGCAGGTAGAATATAACCTGCAGGTCATATTCTACCTGCAGGTCATATTCTACGTGCAGGTCATATTGTCACATGCTGAACTATTTTCTACCTGCAGGTTATATTCTACCTGCAGGTTATATTCTACCTGCAGGTAGAATATAACCTGCAGGTCATATTCTACCTGCAGGTCATATTCTACCTGCAGGTCATATTGTCACATGCTGAACTATTTTCTACCTGCAGGTTATATTGTCACATGCTAAACTATTTTCTACCTGCAGGTCATATTGTCACATGCTGAACTATTTTCTACCTGCAGGTCATATTGTCACATGCTAAACTATTTTCTACCTGCAGGTCATATTGTCACATGCTGAACTATTTTCTACCTGCAGGTCATATTGTCTCATGCTAAACTATTTTCTACCTGCAGGTTATATTGTCACATGCTAAACTATTTTCTACCTGCAGGTTATATTGTCACATGCTGAACTATTTTCTACCTGCAGGTTATATTGTAACATGCTGAACTATTTTCTACCTGCAGGTCATATTGTCACATGCTAAACTATTTTCTACCTGCAGGTTATATTGTCACAGTTTAGCATGTTTAGATGACTACAACAACATCACATAGAGAGACGACTACAACAACATCACATAGAGAGACGACTACAGCAACATCACATAGAGAGACGACTACAGCAACATCACATAGAGAGATAACTACAGCAACATCACATAGAGAGATAACTACAGCAACATCACATAGAGAGACGACTACAGCAACATCACATAGAGAGATAACTACAGCAACATCACATAGAGAGATAACTACAGCAACATCACATAGAGAGATAACAGCAACATCACATAGACAGACGACGACAGCAACATCACATAGAGAGACGACTACAGCAACATCACATAGAGAGATGGCTACAGCAACATCACATAGAGAGATAACTACAGCAACATCACATAGAGAGGCGACGACAGCAACATCACATAGAGAGATAACTACAGCAACATCACATAGAGAGATGACTACAGCAACATCACATAGAGAGACGAGTACAGCAACATCACATAGAGAGATAACTACAGCAACATCACATAGAGAGATGACTACAGCAACATCACATAGAGAGATGACGACAGCAACATCACATAGAGAGATAACTACAGCAACATCACATAGAGAGACGTCTACAGCAACATCACATAGAGAGATAAATACAGCAACATCACATAGAGAGACGACTAAAGCAACATCATATAGACATACGACTAGAGCAACATATTTGTACTTACCATTTTGGGATCCCGTCTGTGCTATGCCTTAGATCTGTGATCAGTGCCTTAGGTCTGTGATCAGCTTTAGGCAATGATTGAACGATCGATATAGATCGATACGAGATCTACATGAAGTCTTGTAGAGAACACGTTTGTGAGAGACAAATATTTCACGCCCAGAGATTTACTGGCTGGCTAACTGGTGCACACAGCTGCTCTACCCCTGCCGCCCCACCGCCCTCCACCCCACCGCACGCCGCCCACCGCATGCCACCCCACCTTCTCGTCTTTATTGATTATCGCCTGGTGATTCGATCTCAATTGATTGCGTTAGATGCCATTAAACTAACCCAAACATTGCTGACTTGTATTGTCTAGTGACTGGCTAAACACGCGAGGAATATGGCTAGCAACGTACCATGGTCATTTCATCTCGCTTTGTTGTGGTCATTTCGTGTCGCCTTGTCTGGTCATTTCGTGTCGCCTTGTCTGGTCATTTCGTGTCGCCTTGTCTGGTCATTTCGTGTCGCCTTGTCTGGTCATTTCTTGTCGCCTTGTTTGGTCATTTCATGTCGCCTTGTTTGGTCATTTCTTGTCGCCTTGTTTGGTCATTTCGTGTCGCCTTGCATTTCGTGTCGCCTTGTCTGGTCATTTCGTGTCGCCTTGTTGTGGTCATTTCGTGTCGCCTTGTTTGGTTATTTTTCGTCTTTTATGTCTCCGTGTTGTGAGCATTTCATGATACCTACATAGTCGTTTGATTGTATCTACCTACAGGTAAACTGTCCTTTAGAACCAAGCTGTTCATGGTGCAGATGAAGTAGAGCTAACCTGTTTCTTTGACACGTATGTAGGAATAGTGTGATCAGCACTCTAACCAGCTGTCTTTGCGTTCCCCAACATAAATCGGGTACCCACCAAAGCTGAGTAGACTCACTGACTTCGGTACTGACAACAGCCCGTTACCCTCTTGTGGTAGTTTATATTGCCATGTTGTAGCTGTTGTTGTATTTGATGTTGTAGCTGTTGTTGTAGATGTTGTTGTATTTGATGTTGTAGCTGTTGTTGTAACTGTTGTTTTAGCTGTTGTTTTAGCTGTTGTTGTAGCTGTTGTTGTAGCTGTTGTTGTAGCTGTTGTTGTAGCTGTTGTTGTAGCTGTTGTTGTAGATGTTGTTGTAGCTGTTGTTGTAGCTGTTGTTGTATTTGATGTGGTCACTGTTTTAACTGGTTGTCATCATTTTAACTTGCTGTGTTCAGTAAAATAAAATTTGTATTCCACAACAATTGTCTCTGGGTCGAAGATAGATCAGCACTTATAAATAGGACTGCGGGGCCATATTAATATGTTTAGAGTAGCCATTTCACTCATTGTATTAATATTAATAAAACACTTTGTTTATATCTATATAAATAAATAAATAAATAAATAAATAAATAAACATATATATATATATATATATATATATATATATATATATATATATATATATATATATATATATATATACATATATATATATATATATATATATATATATATATATATATATATATATATATATATTATAAAAATGACTAAGTTTCTTCCAAAGTTATTTTAAAGCCTACAGTGAACTAACAAAAGAGAAAATGGACAGAGTTTATTTGAAGTTTAATTTAAAAAGATTTAGACGCTGTTATTGCTACTTGAATGCCGTGTTTGGTAGCGTTGCTAGGCGTTGCCAAGTGTCAACAAATGTCCGTGCTAGCAGATCGCTGACAGCCGTACTGTCTGTTTACCTTCATGTAAATACAACTAGAGCGTCGTTGGTTACTTTTAATTTAAAGTTCTGAAAGAGACATTGATTTGGTTGTAACCAATTGAACTGGTGACACGGGGGCTGATGAAGGCCTCGAGAAACAGCTTTCGTGGCTACTATAAACAAGGCTTAGACAACCAGGGGAGACCACCAATAAAATTAACAACATTTACGTGTTACTGAGTTGTCCATCTTTTAGTTCAAAACTACACACGTTTACGATAGTCATAATGATGCCCATTGCAGCCCATTTGTGATCAAATGTCCGTTTGTATGTGGGTTTGTTGTAAAATGTCCGTTTGGGTGTGTAATGTAGGTGTACAACACACTTTGATTACAAAATATAGGTGTGAAATACAGGTGTATTGCACACTATAACATCCAATGTTCCATTTGGGGAAGGATCTTGAGAATGTGACGTTGCAAATATTCCTGACGTAAATTACTGGTGTGTGTGTGTGTGACGTGAATTACTGGTGTATGTGACGTGAATTATTGGTGTATGTGATGTCAATTACTAATGTATGTGACGTGAATTACTTTTGTGTGTCGTGAATTACTGAAGTATGTGACGACGTTCTTGACATTACTGTCAACATCGGTCCAAATTTCTTGACATTTTTTTTAACGGACAATCTTTGACGGAATAATCTCTTAGCAGAAGCGAGTACATGGCAATAGAAAACACGTGAAGGGAGATAACCAATGACACAGTTGTGTGCGGTGTAAGAACAGGTAACTCTGGATTCTTGGAAAAACTACTTTAATAATTGATCAGTATCCGATTGTTCGCTAGAACAAAACATGGTAAGTTGAAACAAACTTGGACCATAAACATTTGGCCAATAAAGTTCCTTCAAGCGGTCAGCCAGCATTAACGTACACCAGCTTCCAGAAGCTTCCATGAAGGGTACACACTGCAACACACCGTAACGCACTGCAACACACCTAACACACCGTAACACACTACACACTGCACCATTGTCTCCACATCAGCTTGTTATCATTCTCACAAACTCTGTAAACAAAAGATAAAGTGGCTGTCTTTGATCACGTGATTGGTGCAACTATAAATAGCCACAAGCTAAAACATCTACTATTCACTCTGAATAGGGGTCGCCCATAAAAGAAATTACACAAGTGGTTGGTTGTGGTTGTGATGTGGCTGCGTTGTGGCTGGGTTGTGGTTGTGTTGTGGTTGTGTTGTGGTTGTGTTGTGGCTGGGTTGTGGCTGTGGTTGTGTTGTGGTTGTGGCTGGGTTGTGTTGTGGTTGTGTTGTGGTTGGGTTGTGGCTGGGTTGTGTTGTGGTTGGGTTGTGGTTGGGTTGTGGTTGTGTTGTGGTTGTGGTTGTGTTGTGGTTGTGGTTGTGTTGTGGTTGTGTTGTGGCTGTAGTTTGGTTGTGGCTGGGTTGTGGCTGGGTTGGGGTTTGGTTGTGGCTGGGTTATGTTGTGTTGTGGTTGTGTTGTGGCTGGGTTGTGGCTGTGGTTGGGTTGTGGTTGTGGCTGGGTTGTGGCTGGGTTGTAGTTGGGTTGTGGCTGGGTTGTGGTTGTGGCTGGGTTGTGGCTGGGTTGTGTTGTGGTTGGGTTGTGGCTGGGTTGTGTTGTGGTTGGGTTGAGTTGTGGTTGGGTTGTGGTTGGGTTGTGGTTGTGTTGTGGTTGTGGTTGTGTTGTGGTTGTGTTGTGGCTGTAGTTTGGTTGTGGCTGGGTTGTGGCTGGGTTATGGCTGTGGTTGGGTTGTGGTTGTGTTGTGGCTGGGTTGTGGCTGGGTTGTGGATGTGGTTGTGTTGTGGTTGTGGCTGGGTTTTCCCTGGGTTGTGGCTGGGTTGTGGCTGGGTTGTGGTGTGGTTGTGTTATGATTGTGGTTGTGTTGTGGTTGTGGTTGTGTTGTGGCTGGGTTGTGGATGTGTTGTGGTGTGGTTGTGTTATGATTGTGGTTGTGTTGTGGTTGTGGTTGTGTTGTGGCTGGGTTGTGGATGTGGTTGTGTTGTGGTTGTGTTCTGGCTGGGTTGTGGATGCGGTTGTGTTGTGGTTGTGTTGTGGCTGGGTTGTGGCTGGGTTGTAGCTGGGTTGTGGTTGTGGTTGTGGTTGTGTTGTGGTTGTGTTGTGGTTGTGTTGTGGCTGTGTTGTGGCTGGGTTGTGGTTGTGGCTGGGTTGTGGCTGGACTGTGGTTGTGGCTGGGTTGTGGTTGTGGTGGGTTGTGGTTGTGTTGTGGCTGGGTTGTGGCTGCAGGTAGATTATGTCGAGCCGCGTGAGCAGCCAGTCATGACTGACCTGTGTAGTTGACCCATGACTGACCTGTGTAGTTGACCCATGACTGACCTGTGTAGTTGACCCATGACTGACCTGTGAAGTTGACCCATGACTGACCTGTGTTGTTGACCTAAGACTGACCTGTGTAGTTGACCCATGACTGACCTGTGTAGTTGACCCATGACTGACCTGTGTTGTTGACCCATGACTGACCTGTGAAGTTGACCTGCTCGTGAGCAGCCAGCCATGACTGGCCTGTGTAGTTGACCCACAACTGACCTGTGTAGTTGACCTATGACTGACCTGTGTAGTTGACCCACGACTGACTTGTGTAGTTGACCTATGACTGACCTGTGTAGTTGACCCACAACTGACCTGTGTAGTTGACCTATGACTGACCTGTGTAGTTGACCTATGACTGACCTGTGTAGTTGACCTATGACTGACCTGTGTAGTTGACCTATGACTGACATGTGTAGTTGACCTATGACTGACCTGTGTAGTTGACCTATGACTGACCTGTGTAGTTGACCTATGACTGACCTGTGTAGTTGACCTATGACCTACCTGTGTAGTTGACCTATGACCTACCTGTGTAGTTGACCTATGACCTACCTGTGTAGTTGACCTATGACCTACCTGTGTAGTTGACCTATGACCTACCTGTGTAGTTGACCTATGACTGACCTGTGTAGTTGACCTACGACTGACCTGTGTAGTTGACCTACGACTGACCTATGTAGTTGACATGTGACCTACCTGTGTAGTTGACCTACGACTGACCTGTGTAGTTGACCTATGACCTACCGGTGTAGTTGACCTATGAACTACCTGTGTAGTTGACCTATGACCTACCTGTGTAGTTGACCTATGACCTACCTGTGTAGTTGACCTATGGCTGACCTGTGTAGTTGACCTGTGACTGACCTGTGTAGTGGACCTATGACCTACCTGTGTAGTTGACCTATGACCTACCTGTGTAGTTGACCTATGACCTACCTGTGTAGTTGACCTATGACCTACCTGTGTAGTTGACCTGCCCGTTGCCGTCGATGTCCGCCTCCCGTATCATCTCCTCCACGTCCTCGTCGCTCAGCTTCTCCCCCAGGTTGGTCATCACGTGACGCAGCTCAGCAGCCGAGATGTAGCCGTTGCCGTCACGGTCAAACACCTGCAAGCAGTCGACGTTGTACACCTGGCTCGGTCAAGGTTGTACACCTGGCTCGGTCAAGGTTGTACACCTGGCTCAGTCAACACCTGGCTCAGTCAACACCTGGCTCAGTCAAAGTTGTACACCTGGCTCAGTCAAGGTTGTACACCTGGACCGGTCAAGGTTGTACACCTGGCTCAGTCAAGGTTGTACACCTGGCTCAGCCAAGGTTGTACACCTGGCTCAGTCAACACCTGGCTCAGTCAAGGTTGTACACCTGGCTCAGCCAAGGTTGTACACCTGGCTCAGCCAAGGTTGTACACCTGGCTCAGCCAAGGTTGTACACCTGGCTCAGCCAAGGTTGTACACCTGGCTCAGCCAAGGTTGTACACCTGGCTCAGTCAAGGTTGTACACCTGGCTCAGCCAAGGTTGTACACCTGGCTCAGCCAAGGTTGTACACCTGGCTCAGTCAACACCTGGCTCAGTCAAGGTTGTACACCTGGCTCAGCCAAGGTTGTACACCTGGCTCAGCCAAGGTTGTACACCTGGCTCAGTCAACACCTGGCTCAGCCAAGGTTGTACACCTGGCTCAGCCAAGGTTGTACACCTGGCTCAGCCAAGGTTGTACACCTGGCTCAGTCAACACCTGGCTCAGCCAAGGTTGTACACCTGGCTCAGCCAAGGTTGTACACCTGGCTCAGTCAAGGTTGTACACCTGGCTCGGTCAAGGTTGTACACCTGGCTCAGTCAACACCTGGCTCAGTCAACACCTGGCTCAGTCAACACCTGGCTCAGTCAACACCTGGCTCAGCCAAGGTTGTACACCTGGCTCAGCCAAGGTTGTACACCTGGCTCAGTCAAGGTTGTACACCTGGCTCAGTCAACACCTGGCTCGGTCAAGGTTGTACACCTGGCTCAGCCAAGGTTGTACACCTGGCTCAGCCAAGGTTGTACACCTGGCTCAGCCAAGGTTGTACACCTGGCTCAGCCAAGGTTGTACACCTGGCTCAGTCAACACCTGGCTCAGTCAAGGTTGTACACCTGGCTCAGCCAAGGTTGTACACCTGGCTCGGTCAAGGTTGTACACCTGGCTCAGTCAACACCTGGCTCAGTCAACACCTGGCTCAGTCAACACCTGGCTCAGCCAAGGTTGTACACCTGGCTCAGCCAAGGTTGTACACCTGGCTAGGTCAAGGTTGTACACCTGGCTCAGTCAACACCTGGCTCAGTCAACACCTGGCTCAGTCAACACCTGGCTCAGCCAAGGTTGTACACCTGGCTCAGCCAAGGTTGTACACCTGGCTCAGTCAAGGTTGTACACCTGGCTCAGCCAAGGTTGTACACCTGGCTCAGTCAAGGTTGTACACCTGGCTCAGCCAAGGTTGTACACCTGGCTCAGTCAACACCTGGCTCAGTCAACACCTGGCTCAGTCAAGGTTGTACACCTGGCTCAGCCAAGGTTGTACACCTGGCTCGGTCAAGGTTGTACACCTGGCTCAGTCAACACCTGGCTCAGTCAACACCTGGCTCAGCCAAGGTTGTACACCTGGCTCAGCCAAGGTTGTACACCTGGCTCGGTCAAGGTTGTACACCTGGCTCGGTCAAGGTTGTACACCTGGCTCAGTCAAGGTTGTACACCTGGCTCGGTCAAGGTTGTACACCTGGCTCAGTCAACACCTGGCTCAGTCAACACCTGGCTCAGTCAACACCTGGCTCAGCCAAGGTTGTACACCTGGCTCAGTGTCTGGCTTAACAAACTGTCAACAGATCATGACTTGCCTGAAACGGATGTGTCTATATACCCAAAAGTTCCAGACTTGCCTGAAATGGGTGTGTCTATATACCCAAAAGTTCCAGACTTGCCTGAAATGGATGTGTCTATATACCCAAAAGTTCCAGACTTGCCTTAAACGGATGTGTCTATATACCCAAAAGTTCCAGACTTGCCTGAAACGGATGTGTCTATATACCCAAAAGTTCCAGACTTGCCTGAAACGGATGTGTCTATATACCCAAAAGTTCCAGACTTGCCTGAAACGGATGTGTCTATATACCCAAAAGTTCCAGACTTGCCTGAAACGGATGTGTCTATATACCCAAAAGTTCCAGACTTGCCTGAAAAGCTTGCAGAAGTTCATCGGGAGATTCTTTCTTACTGAGTGTAGTCGCCATCAGAGCCAGGAAATCAGCAAAGTCGACCATGCCATTTTCTTCAAAAGATTTATGTAAACAACTGGTTCATTTTCTCTCGCTACCTTCATAGACAGATGCTGTGATTAAACTGTCTCATGGCTTTCGTCAACTTACTGTGGTCAAACTGTCCGACCATAGCTTTTGTCAATTTACTGTGGTCAAACTGTCCGACCATAGCTTTTGTCAACTTACTGTGGTCAAACTGTACGACCATAACTTTTGTCAACTTACTGTGGTCAAACTGTCCCATAACTTTTGTCAACTTACTGTGGTCAAACTGTCCCATAACTTTTGTCAACTTACTGTGGTCAAACTGTCCCATAGCTTTTGTCAACTTACTGTGGTCAAACTGTCCCATAACTTTTGTCAACTTACTGTGGTCAAACTGTCCCATAACTTTTGTCAACTTACTGTGGTCAAACTGTCCCATAGATTTTGTCAACTTACTGTGGTCAAACTGTCCGACCATAGCTTTTGTCAACTTACTGTGGTCAAACTGTCCGACCATAGCTTTTGTCAACTTACTGTGGTCAAACTGTCCCATAGATTTTGTCAACTTACTGTGGTCAAACTGTCCGACCATAGCTTTTGTCAACTTACTGTGGTCAAACTGTCCGACCATAGCTTTTGTCAACTTACTGTGGTCAAACTGTCCCATAGATTTTGTCAACTTACTGTGGTCAAATTGTCCGACCATAGCTTTTGTCAACTTACTGTGGTCAAACTGTCCGACCATAGCTTTGATCTCGGCATCTGTGATGACCCCACCCAATGACCTGATGACCGTGCCAATGTCCGCTGAGTTGATGAAGCCATCGCTGTCCTTGTCAAACAGACCAAACGCTTCCTGGAAGTCTGGGGACAAGTCTTTGGGGTCAAAGTTCACACATCACGCGCTAACGCTAAGACAGATCTTAGAAGCTAGACTAATTAGTCGAGAACGTAGCTCAAAATTAGAACCTAGTTTAATTAGAACAAAAGTTTAATTAAATATTTAAAGAAGAAACAAAAGATAAACCACCATGACGACAACACACAATGATAACAGCATGAAATGGCCAATACACCATGACGACAACATGAAATGGACAACACACCATGACGACAATCTGAAATGGCCAACACACCAAGACTACAGCATGAAATGGCCAATACACCATGACGACACACCATGACGACAACTCACCATGACGACACACCATGACGACACACCATGACGACACACCATGACGACAACTCACCTGATATCTCTTGCTGTGAGAACTGGGCCTGTGGACATAAAAAGAAATCTCGTCAAATGTGGAGGATGAGAAGTTACACACCAACCAGTTCTCTATCAACAAGACGGTCAGAACATGGCTACTACCATTCTACGCTCAGTTTGGTCCAGAGGTAACACGCATCCAAGCTTTCATCAATCGTCACGCTTCTGACTCGGGCCACTATAGATGGGACCGCTGGTTGGGACCGCTGGATGGGACCGCTGATTGGGACCGCTGGCTGGTTGGGACCGCTGGTTGGGACCGCTGGCTGGTTGGGACAACTGTTAAATGAGGCTAACGCTCAAGTCACAAGTTGTGAGACCTCTGTCCACGACAAGCACACAAGAAACACAGATAATGTTATCACCTTGACACACCTTAATGTACCAGGTCAATGTTTACACATTGGTCGTGCTCTAACAAGTTAGGACTTGCCCTGTCTCAAGTGTTGATGAGGGCATAAAGTCCTGTCTCAACTGTAGGGCATAAAGTCCTGTCTCATCTGTAGGGCATAAAGTCCTGTCTCAAGTGTTAATTAGGGCATAAAGTCCTGTCTCAACTGTTAATTAGGGCATAAAGTCCTGTCTCAACTGTTGATGAGGGCATAAAGCCCTGTCTCAACTGTTAATGAGGGCATAAAGTCCTGTCTCAACTGTTAATTAGGGCATAAAGTCCTGTCTCAAGTGTTAATTAGGGCATAAAGTCCTGTCTCAACTGTTAATTAGGGCATAAAGTCCTGTCTCATCTGTTAATTAGGGCATAAAGTCCTGTCTCAACTGTTAATGAGGGCATAAAGTCCTGTCTCAACTGTTGATGAGGGCATAAAGCCCTGTCTCAACTGTTAATGAGGGCATAAAGTCCTGTCTCAACTGTAGGGCATAAAGCCCTGTCTCAACTGTTAATGAAGGCATAAAGCCCTGTCTCAACTGTTAATTAGGGCATAAAGCCCCACGTATTGGAGACAATGGAGATCACAACATAATTATTTTAGTCATGTACACACCACAACATAATTTAGTCATGCACACACACACCACTACCAGATTTAGTCATGTACACACCACAACATAATTTAGTCATGTACACACCACAACATGATTTAGTCATGTATACACCACAACATAATTTAGTCATGTACACACCACAACATAATTTAGTCATGTACACACCACAACATGATTTAGTCATGTACACAAAGTGCATTAAATCCAAACAACTGATGTAAACTCGCGTGTTGAGCTGTGTGCCAGATAATAATTAGCCTATCAATTAACATGTCCTGAACAGCTAATTACCACAGAAACGTTTGAAGCTGCCGTGAATGAACCCACCCACATGCAAGTCACGTGCTAACGTATCACGTGGGGCCTTCAGGTCCCAATGATGCCACACTTAGAAAACAAATGGCACTCTTCAGAGGTTTAAGACTTGTTAACATTTCTTAAGGAATAAATATCGCAGTCATGGTGGCGTTCGTTATGTGAAACACGCGCTTGACGTCTTTGAGGCCTACAGGTTAAAGCGGCTTTAGTGGGCGTCAATAAATGACGTCACACTCATTATAGGACGGTGGGGTCTCAGGGGTCATCCATAAATGACGTCACGCTTTTTTGACGATTTTTACCTCCCCCCTCCCCTCCGTCACACATCGTCACAAAAAGCCAGACCCCCCTCCTAAAATGACGTCACACCTCAGTCTACAACCCCCCTTAAAACTGCAGTTGAATTTTTCTTAAAACATCGATATTTTTCCAAAATCTTCTCTGAACTCTGTCAAAATAGTATTTTAATCAATTCCTATTTAAAAAGTGTTCTAAAACGCGAAATAACGTCTAAAATTCGTTTTCTAACATTGGTTTTTTATAAAGCAAAAGTGTGACGTCGCACGATCTAAACCCCCCTCCCCCTCATCACACACCGTCACAAAATTACGGACACCCCTCCACCCTACGAGTGTGACGTCATTTATGGACGACCCCTCAAGCTCTATTGACGATGCATGTTGTATTTTATTTAAAAAAATTGGGGATTTTATGTGCAATTTTTATAAATAGCACATTTTTATAAATAAATTTGAATTTTAAAAAATTGATCACTAATCCACGTTTTAGAAAAAAAAAGCCCGAACAAAAGCTGCAGTTAGCAGAAAAGGGAAAGGGGGTGAGGGTGAGGCGTGAGGGTGATTTGTGTTGTCATTTTATGGGGATTGAGGGGGGGGGGGGAATAGTCCAAGAAGCGTGACGTAATTTGATGGCAATAATTCACTATCCTTGGTCATAGTATGAAATCACAAACTTCCTATTATTATTTCTTGCTGAATACGAACGTTATTTGTTGGTTTTTCAACTGGACTTTTTTAAAATAACAGGTTAAGAGCAGGCCTGTCTCGACATAACATTTATATTAATTTATATTGATCTAATCTCAGCCATCACCTGCACAGAAACCTACGTCATTTTCTGATTTCGCATTTTAAGTTTTAAATACTTCTAGCAAAGTATCGCCTACGAAAAAAAGATCTAGATCTAGATCTAGATCCAAATCTATAATTTAAAATATTGGGCTAAATGTTTACAAAATCTACAAAAAATAGATCTTATAACCCCAAACAAAAAGAAAATTTTAAAATCATCGACATTTTATCACCACGGAAAAAATGAGATAGGCGGTTCCTTTTGGGTTTCCCACAGACGGGAAGGATGTGTCATACTGCAGTGTGCTCGGTACATTCCGGAACTATTGTGTCTGTAGTGAGTGTGTACTGTACTACACCTTGTTTTCAAGCAAAGGTGTTTCCGTAGAAAAAAAATCATGGTGATTTGTTTATTTGTTTCTTTTTGTCATTATTTTTATTAAAAGGAGCTAGTGGTACATTTACTAGTTATAGTTAGTATATATTAGTGGGCCTTTTGTGCTTTATAGGCCTACTTATTTAAAATTAATCTAGGCCTAGGCCTAATATTAATTATTATAATTATTGCCTAATATTATAAATTATTATTTATTTATTTATTTATTAGGTAGGCTACTATACCTATAGATAGGCCTATTAAATTATTCATATATTTAATATATTTATTTATTCTAGGCCTATAGCCTACTATTATACTATAGGAACTAATTAGGTCTAATTAGTAATTAGGCCTAATTAGTAATAGCCTAATTATTAATATTAATAGTAGGCCTAAGTAATAAGGCCTACTAATTAGCCTACTTTACTTAATACTTACTTAGACTAATTAGTAATTAGACATTTGATTATAATGATTATACTTATAGGCCTATTTCTAATGCATTGTATTTTAGTAATAGATCTCTCCATAGGCCTAATAATAATATAATATTAATAATATTAGCCTAAAAATAATAATTAAAAATATGCCAAGTAATTATATAGATAAGTGGTTCTTAACCTTTTTCTGCTTTTTGGAGGTAGCAACCCCATTTAGTTTAATTTCCCAATTCTTCAAAACCTTCTTATAGTTCTATCCGCAGACACTGACAAAATCTGATCGTGAATCATATGAATTGGGTGTGTTCTTGACAGTGTTTCTTCCAGACTTTTTTCTCGGGGGGTGCAGTTGAAATTTCTGTGGGAGCCGACATTGTCAAAAGTAGACCTATATATTTCCTATATAAATTCCATTTCGTTTGGAGGGGCGGTAAGATTCCCCCCCCCCCCCAAGAGATGCCTGGAAGAAACTCTGGTTCTTGACCCCCACCAAACCTCTGACTGAGACTGATTCTCCGAACCCCTGGGGTTCAATCAAACCCAGGTTAAGAACCACTTAATGTAACTTAATGTTACTAATAGTTTACTATGCCCAAGCTTATAGGCCAACGCCTAGCCTAATATAACTAGTCTAAGAAATACAAATCTCTAGGTCTATTTCATATCTAATATTTTATATAGATCTAGGCCTATAACCTAGGCCTATAACCTAGGCCTAAATATTGCTAAATGAGGCAGAGGTTACTCCCATGAGTCACAGTGCAGTACTATTAGTCTTTCATTTTATGAAATATTCCATACACGACATTGAATTATATCTCACAATAACAAATTGCAATGAGGTATAAGAGAGCAATGCTATTTTTAAAAATTCTATCGAAAAAGTATTGAGGTTTAAGTAATGTTAATATTTTATTAAAAGATTGATTAAGCACTTTAAAATAATTAATTTAAAATGACTCCCAAATGGAACTATTCACCTGTCATTGTTCAGACTGGAAATTGCCTTATTACAGCTACATTGTCAAAACATAATCACCTAATGCTAGCCACAGAAGTCCTTAATGTTCCTTCAGCTAAAATATTTCCTCTAGGATAAACTTAGAGCTCATTCTTCCCCATAATGAACTCACCACCGACTTAAACATAAAGATGGTATAGCTAAAGTTTGGTTTAGTTTAGCCTGTTGTTAGTATAATCAAGGTAAATTACTGTAAATTCAACAAGGGTTTATATTTGACTGTTGACTGTTCTGTTTACAATGTTTACATTTGACTGTTGACTGTTCTGTTTACAATGTTTACATTTGACTGTTCTGTTTACAATGTTTACATTTGACTGTTCTGTTTACAATGTTTACATTTGACTGTTGACTGTTCTGTTTACAATGTTTACATTTGACTGTTCTGTTTAAAATGTTTACATTTGACTATTCTGTTTACACTGTTTACATTTGACTGTCCTGTATACAATGTTTACATTTGACTGTTCTGTTTACAATGTTTACATTTGACTGTTCTGTTTACAATGTTTACATTTGACTGTTCTGTTTACAATGTTTACATTTGACTATTCTGTTTACAATGTTTACATTTGACTGTTCTGTTTACAATGTTTACATTTGACTATTCTGTTTACAATGTTAACATTTGACTGTTGACTGTTTACAATGTTAACATTTGACTGTTGACTGTTTACAATGTTTACATTTGACTGTTCTGTTTACAATGTTTACATTTGACTGTTCTGTTTACAATGTTTACATTTGACTGTTCTGTTTACACTGTTTACATTTGACTGTTGACTGTTCTGTATACAATGTTTACATTTGACTGTTCTGTTTACAATGTTTACATTTGACTGTTCTGTTTACAATGTTTACATTTGACTGTTCTGTATACAATGTTTACATTTGACTGTTGACTGTATACAATGTTTACATTTGACTGTCCTGTTTACAATGTTTACATTTGACTGTTCTGTTTACAATGTTTACATTTGACTGTTGACTGTATACAATGTTTACATTTGACTGTTCTGTTTACAATGTTTACATTTGACTGTTGACTGTTTACAATGTTTACATTTGACTGTTGACTGTTCTGTTTACAATGTTTACATTTGACTGTTCTGTATACAATGTTTACATTTGACTGTTTACAATGTTTACATTTGACTGTTCCAGGCCCACAACAAAGATCAAGTGACTGAAGCCTTTGAGTTGTTTGACAGTGATGGTGATGGCTATCTACTGGTCAGTGAGGCAGCTTCAGCCATACGAGCTCTGGGTCACATCTTGACCGATGCAGATATTAAAACATTACTGCACAGAGTGGGCGTGGATGCAGGTACATGACAGCACATTACCTTAGCACATAGCACCCATAAATAGACATGACAGCACATTACCTTAGCACATAGCACCCATAAATAGACATGACAGCACATTACCTTAGCACATAGCACCCATAAATAGACATGACAGCACACTACCTTAGCACATAGCACCCATAAATAGACATGGCAGCACATTACCTTAGCACATAGCACCCATAAATAGACATGACAGCACATTACATTAGCACATAGCACACATAAATATACATGACAGCACATTACATTAGCACATAGCACACATAAATATACATGACAACACAATACCTTAGCACCTAGCACCCATAAATAGACATGACAGCACATTACATTAGCACCTAGCACCCATAAATAGACATGACAGCACATTACATTAGCACATAGCACACATAAATATACATGACAACACAATACCTTAGCACCTAGCACCCATAAATAGACATGACAGCACAATACCTTAGCACATGTGATGACATGGTGGACTGGTGTCAGTGTTATACCCAGTCATTTGTCAGCTTGTATGTATTATCAGGCCGGGCAGGGCGTGTGGACATGTCAAAGTTCCGCCAGATGCACGGGTCACTGCCTGCACAGAACTACACCAGGCAGCTGGAGGAAGCTTTTAAAACTGTGGACAAGGAGGGCAGCGGCTACGTCATGGCCTCGGAGCTCAAACATTTGTTGACCAATATGGGGGACAGGCTGTCAGACGACGACTTCAACCTTCTGTTGGAGGAGCTCGATATTGACAGCAATGGCAGGATACAGTTCAAAGGTTAGGGTTCATGGCAAGATATAGGTTATAGGTTAGGGTCAATGGCAGGATACAGTTCAAAGGTTAGGGTTCATGGCAACACATAGGTTATAGGTTAGGGTCAATGGCAGGTTACAGTTCAAAGGTTAGGGTTCATAGCAACATATAGGTTAGAGGTTAGGGTCAATGGCAGGTTACAGTTCAAAGGTTAGGGACAATAGCATAGGATATAGCTTATTAAAAAAAAATTGAGCTTAAACTGACAATACTTTTTTATTTTACTTTTTTTTCCTGTGATCCAGTCCTCAACTTTTTAAAGTCAGCTGTTTTATTTTTCTACAGAGTTTGTCCGTTTGTTGGCAGTCCGATGAATGTGTCACCATGTCACTTTGCTTATACAGCTGTTTTTTTTTTCTTGTAAATAAAATGTGATTAACTTATATTTGCTACATGAAGACACTGTAAACCTTACATGGCCACATTCCAGCTCTTGCTAAATGGTCCACACCTCCAAGTCTAATGTAGCAAGGTTTGGTAAGGGAAGTAACTCATAAATAAACTTCAAGTATAGTGTAGCAAGGTTTGGTAAGGGAAGTAACTCATAAATAAACTTCAAGTCTAGTGTAGCAAGGTTTGGAAAGGGAAGTAACTCATAAATAAACTTCAAGTCTAATGTAGCAAGGTTTGGTAGGGGAAGCAACTCTTAAATAAACTTCAAGTCTAGTGTAGGAAGGTTTGGTAAGGGAAGTAACTCATTAAAAACCAACATATTTACTGTTAAAACATATCACATTGATGTAAACCATTGAATTTGATGTACATTTTGTTCTTACAGCTTGTATCACTGTACTGTTTTATAACTAGATCTTACACTAGTTGTTAAATACATTTATTCAGTGGAAACCATGGTGTTCTCTGTGTTAATTGTATGTTCGCATGTAATTAATCATTCATGTTTACAGCACTGGTACCTGTACAAACTCAGTCACTGGCTCAACACTTTACTCTTGTCACCTGCTCTAAACATATCTAAATACACCTGCTCTAAACATATCTAAATACACCTGCCCTAAACATATCTAAATACACCTGCTCTAAACATATCTAAATACACCTGCTTTAAACATATCTAAATACACCTGCTCTAAACATATCTAAATACACCTGCTCTAAACATATCTAAATACACCTGCTCTAAACAAATCTAAATACACCTGCTCTAAACATATCTAAATACACCTGCTCTAAACATATCTAAATACACCTGCTCTAACTCTAAACATGTCTAAATACACCTGCTCTAAACAAATCTAAATACACCTGCTCTAAACATATCTAAATACACCTGCTCTAAACATATATAAATACACCTGCTCTAAACATATATAAATACACCTGCTCTAAACATATATAAATACACCTGCTCTAAACATATCTAAATACACCTGCTCTAAACATATCTAAATACACCTGCTTTAAACATATCTAAATACACCTGCTCTAAACATATCTAAATACACCTGCTCTAAACATATCTAAATACACCTGCTCTAAACATATCTAAATACACCTGCTCTAAACATATCTAAATACACCTGCTCTAAACAAATCTAAATACACCTGCTCTAAACATATCTAAATACACTTGCTCTAAACATATCTAAATACACCTGCTCTAAACATATATAAATACACCTGCTCTAAACATATATAAATACACCTGCTCTAAACATATCTAAATACACCTGCTCTAAACATATCTAAATACACCTGCTCTAAACATATCTAAATACACCTGCTCTAAACATATCTAAATACACCTGCTCTAAACATATCTAAACACACCTGCTCTAAAGGTCCATAAACACCAGTTCTATGTGTCAAGGCTGCTTAATGAAATGACAGCATTAGCGCAGGTGTACTTTAACAATTGTACATTATGACACCTGTGGATCTTTTGACACCTGTGTTGACATTTGAAAACTGGACCTTTTGACACCTCTTGTGCTACACACTTTGCTCAAGGGGAGGCAACCAAGTTTTTGTATGTGGTTAACTAAAGGACAACTTTCGTTTTAGTGGTCATCTAAAGACAACTTTTGTTCCTAGCCACTGGATGAAATTGTCACATCTGATTGCAACCAGTTTTTAGCCCCCCCCCCCCGTGTCAAGCGACCCATGGAGCGGACTCCTGGGGCCACCCAACTGAGAGATCAACTGATGGCTAGCTCGTGAAATTAGCGGCGCTGTTCGTTAATTAGTCGCAAATCAGCCTTCTTTCTTCAGCTTTCTCCCCGGAAGTATTGTAGTCTTCAGATATGTTGGGGGGGGGGGGGGGGAGGAGGAAGGCGGGGGCGTCTTGTACACAATCATGGGGAGGGGGGTAGGTCTTGTACAAGAATGTCTTGTACACAAACAACAAACATGGATGGGGGTAAGTCTTGAACACAAACAACAAACATGTACACAAATATGGGTAGGGGGGTAAGTCTTGAACACAAACATGACTGATGGGAGGTCGTACCAGACTGCTGGAGAAATTCGACGAGGCGAAATGACAAAATGTCGAGGAGGGGGGGGGGTAGGTCGGTATCGATTTCTGGGCCCCAGTCTGGAATCAAGCAAGTCCCAGAGTCCTGCGCGCTAGAGTGCTCGACGCTTAGATCGATCATTGGTCGAGGCCTGCTGACGTCATTCATCGATTCCAGCCTCCATATTATCATCTGTGCCAGTCTTTCTCCAGCAGGTCTTAGGAGTTTCTCGTCTGGTCCACGTAGGCACACGTAAGTACGTCACGACTCTTGTGTGTTTGTGGGGAAGGTTTGGTTGAAGGTTTGTGGGGAAGGTTTGGTTGAAGGTTTGTGAGAAATGTTTGGTTGAAGGTTGGTGAGAAATGTTTGTGAGAAAGGTTTGTGAGAAATGTTTGTGAGAAATGTTTGGTTGAAGGTTTGTGAGAAAGGTTTGGTTTTAGGTTTGTGAGATAGGTTTGGTTTTAGGTTTGTGAGAAAGGTTTGGTTTTAGGTTTGTGAGATAGGTTTGGTTGAAGGTTGGTGAGAAAGGTTTGGTTTTAGGTTTGTGAGAAAGGTTTGGTTTTAGGTTTGTGAGATAGGTTTGGTTGAAGGTTGGTGAGAAAGGTTTGGCTTAATTTTTTTAATTAAACCATTTCCGGAATATTAGTACTTTATAAATTCAAATGCGTTTTTTTTTTTTTTGAGAAATCAGAAATAGCATAATGTACTTTTAGGTCACCGGAAATTACTCAAAATTTGATAGACTGCAGAGGATTAGATTTTTTACATATGTGTAAAATTTCGTCTATTTATCTGAAACAGCACTTATCTAGTTATATAGTTATAGGCTTTTGAAAAACCCAAAGTTTCACTTCCGGTTACCGTAAATCGCTGAAACGAACTACAAAATTGGTGTAATACTTAAATATGAAATTTCATCAACCCAGCTGTAACGGTACTCAAGTTATTTTTTTCATAGACACGGACTCCCACCAACATATAAATAATTTTTTACAACTCAGTGAGTTCGGAAATAACGATTTCGATTTTATGAACGATTACAATACTTCCTTTTTAGGGCCTACTTCGTATACAAGAAAGTAAAAAACATAATTTCAAATAAACGTAAAAGATCTAATTCTCTGCCATCTTTCAAATTTTTATTAGTTTCCGTCAATCGGAAGTAGTACTTAAAGCTATTTCCGATTTCTCAAAAACAAAAAGCGAATTTATAAAGTAGACCTACTAATATTAGGCACTATTATACACACTCTTTTGTCTACGAGATTCTATTCTATTTTTAAAAAAGTTTAAGTATTTAAAAATTGATTAAAAATCATGTCCATTTCCCGAGTTGCCATCAATATATAAGTATACTAACTGCACACCCGTGCTCCGCCACGGTGAATCTTTTTTAAATGTACTAACTTGGGAACAGAACAAAACCAAACACAAAAACAAACAACAAACACAAACACTTTGCAAACGCAAAAAAAAAAACACAAACAAAAACACAAATACAAACACAAACGAAAACACAACACAAACGCAAAAGAAAACGCAAACACAAATGCAAACGCAAAAAACACAAACAAAAACACAAACAAAAAACACAAATGAAAACACAAACACAAACTCAACGCAAACACAGACACAAAAGCAAACGCAAACACATATGCAAACGCAAAAACAAACGCTAACGAAAACGCAACACAACAGACTATCTGACAGACCGACAGACTATCTGACAGACCGACACATCAGACTATCTGACAGAACCCGTCTATCGTGTGAAAACAGAAGCCGTGATGGGAAATAAAATGGACGGATTTATGGGTGAAATGTCGTCAGTCGCTCTCCTGTTATACATCAGCCATTAGTATCATACGTCTGGTGTGTGTGTGTGGGGGGGGGGGGGTGGCGGCAAATAGGACTGGAGTGTGATCAGTATCAAACACCCACTCCAGGCAACAACAACATGGCTTAACCAGCTATAGCTAAACCAGCTGTAACTAAACCAGCTATAGCTAAACCAGTTCTATTAAACATCGTCAAATCCGTTTTAAAATGATTTCCCTCAAATTTTTGACACACTCAAAGTTGAATTTTTCTCCCTCAACCTTTTAAATTGAAGATTATCATCCAAACTTATTATATAAGGCCCACACTACCCCCCCCCCCCCCCCCACCAGTAGACAAAACTTATCGCAGCCATCTTCGTGGGATTCGTTAAAATGTTATCAAACAAGTTTTACAAAAGATGGAAATATTTCTTGTCAGCGAGCGAACGGGTAGTTCCATATATATATATATATATATATATATATATATATATATATATATATATATATATATATATATATATATATATATATATATATATATATATATATTAGAATTCTAAATTAAACCATTTCATTGCAAAGTATGTCCATCATGAAACAACAAACCACACAGGATAGGCTCGAACTCATTTCTGGCCTCGAGTAATCATGTTTTAAAATTTCTCATTTACTCCCAACGAAAATTATGAATACTAGTGTTCCTTCTAATTTGGCAAGTCGGCCAAAGACCATTAACCAAGGAAACTTGATATGTATAATGGTTTCCCGCGTTTATTTATTTTATTTTATTTTATTTATTTTTTTGCATTTATACTTTTAATTTGGAATTCACTCCTTTTTCCCACGTTTTCCTTAACTTGCTTTCATCTCTGTCTTTCCAATCAAATCTTGCGATCGAAATTTCTGGCACTTCCCAGTTAGCTAGCGCGCTGAAATTTTCAGGGAAGCTTTGTTTTGGATGACAATAGAATATTCAATTGTTATTATTACTAAATTGATCCATGGAAACATTTTATTGAGCATTTTAGAGCGCTATATAATTGTAGTAAAAACGTGGGGAAGAAGGGACATAACCCAGTAACTGTAATTTGATGAAAACAAGGTTCGGTACTCTCCCTCTTTGCTTACTGAGTAGTGTTCACGCGGTGTTTGTGTACAAACAACCGTAACAACTGGTGGCCAGTATGGGGGAGACGATATGGTCGAGTGGTTGGGCACACGATTGCTAATCCACTCGACACGGGTTCAAGGCACGTGTTTTTTACGAATTGTCTTCGTTTACCCCAAAAAAAAAAAGTGAATGCGAAAAGATAAAATCGATAGCAAGATTTTAATGCAAACAAACAGACAAAGACTAAAAAGTAGAAAATAATTATCATTAAAAAAGTTTTAAAAAACCCACGTTTTCTGATTCAACTAAAAAGTAGAAAACAAATGCTATACATCACAATAATGCAAGCGATCACTCTACTATAAGCGATGAAAAACGTGGGGCGCCGTGATTTTCTTACAGTTTCTAATACTGTTGACTCTCTACAAGCTCCCTAAT